ATCCAAAAGAGGGAGGGACACGGATTTAATGACACACTGACTTTAACACATCCCTGTGCGCACAGGGATCCCATCTGGCGCGTGCCCTCTCCCTCTCCGTAACCAATCTATCCTCTCCCCACAACACACAAACCGAGGCAGAGAGGAAGCTGTATACGACCTGGAGAGAGAGAGAAAGAGCTCCAAGAATATTTCTGTCTTCTATCAATTTTCTATCTCTCCCCCACCCCACTCTTCGGGTCTGGGTCGATATTCCCGTTGGGGGATCGTTTTGAGTTGAAGGCACTCAAAACCGAGACATATCGACCTTTCCTGGATATAAGAACGTGAGTGGGACGCGAGAAGGAACCGGGAGTGAACCGATGTGCCCCTTGCCTACCCTCTCTCTACCCGCGCTCCAACCAATACATTACAGCGCACTAAGGAGCCACTTGGACCAACCAACCGAAAGAAAATCCGTGCACATGGGATGGTCTCCATATAACCTCCTTTTAAACTTGACCAATTAGGCTATACCAATTAGCCTTTTCATTTGCATAGTGGGCGACATTGTCACTTACAGTCCAGATAGGCTACTCTGGTGTTTACGGTAAGAACTCTCAATGAAGAAATCAGAGGATTTATGATCTCACGGTTACAGCCGGAGAAGCTCCTGCATGTCGGTTTAGGCCTACATCACCGGTAACGAGACTAGACAACCTCTGGTGATTTTACGTGACTTAGACATACATGGATATGCGAAATTCAGTTCTGCGTGGGGATAAATGAATGGCTTAAGGACAGGCGGCATATGGTCTGTAGGCGCAGCGGATTTAGTACCAAACAACACCGCCTCTCCAGAGCGCGTCCTCTCCGGGAGAGAGTGGACAGAGCAAACAACGCCTGAGGAATGCGGGCTCTGTTTCCCTGGATCTCCACCTCAGCTGCGGGTCACCCCGCTGCACACACCAAAGTAAGTAACAGATTCGTATGAGGTAGGCTATTATGGATAGAGACACTCAGTTCGTTTGCCGTATTGACACACTCCATTTCTTTCCATGTGCGTCATTCTTTTCCACAGGGGTCTGTAGCCCAATTGTGCACTTATGGTCGTTTGTGAACTGTTAACATTTGCATGATTGATCGTTATATAGCCTATCAACACATTGAACTGTGATTAGAAACTGCTCTTTTACTCCCTTCCCAGTTGAACGTTGACCGGGTGGAAGGCCGGTGACGCGAGCGGTCATGTTGAGACAAATCCTGCTGAATTCCACCAACGCACTAGACTTCGACCTAGGGATGGCCCTCCAGACGCACGAGACCGTGTCCGTTAACGCATCTCACGGATCGGTGAACATGGCGGCCCTGCTCAGGCCCACGGGCAGCAGGGGCGGGATGCGGGAGGAAGAGGAGCTGAACAAACCGGACCTAGCCACCTACTTGGTAATCTGTCTGGTGCTGTTTCTGCTCGTGCTGCTCATCGTTTTCTTCATCAACTGTCAGCTTAGGAACTCCTTCTTCATGCCCTACGATCGGTCTCTCCGAGAGGCCCGGACCTCATACAAATAGAATCCGTGACCCACTCAGCTGGTAACGTCTGTAGGACTAGGTAACTTGTGTTATGAATGTGTTCATGGAAGGATGTGTGATATTGACTATTTCAGCCAGTGCATGGTCCAAACGCTGTGCGTAACCGTTATGTGTTCATTTGGCACAATGAGATAGAGACCTATTACGCGCCCTGTTCCAAACTGCACTAAATGTCATTACGTGTAGGCCTATATAAATGTGTATGTTTTTTTGTTGTTGTATATAAAACATTTTATATTACAGCACTGTAATGCGCTCTTCTGCAGATCTATTGTGTAATTCTGAGCTTAAAGTTTCATTCTTTGTATTGTGTAAAACCATGATTAAATATATTATATTTGTCCATCTAGTTCAATATGGCTATATGAAAATCATAGGGTGATAATGATGATGATGATGATGATGATGATGATGATGATGGGATGACACGGATTGATAGTTGAATATCCGAGACAAGAGGTTTCATGACTGCATCCCTGTTTATCACGCGCTTTCATTTTTTAAATTTTATTAAACCATCACTCACAATGTACTAGTTTAATTGCTCGCAGAACGAGTGGTTAACGCTGATATAAATCGCCCAAGACAAATTGACTATCTATCCTTTTATCCAGAGGCCTCGCTGTCTATGCCGACTCCACTCTGAAATATGTTGTTCCAAAACACCCTTGATGGAGAATGAGATACATATATCCTAATCCACTAGATGCCAAGACAGTTTTGTGACCACAGGGGAGTAGCCTGTGTGTGTGTGTGTGTGTGTGTGTGTGTGTGTGTGTGTGTGTGTGCGCGCGCGCGCGCAATGTAGGCCTAGGCCGTGGCCAAACTGAATTACTTTCCAGATTGTAATTTCCTGTGTGTGCATCTTCATATAGCTAATTGCTTTCTACCATTTTCAGAGGAGGGCAGGTTTACATTGAAGGAATTCCTCAGCCAGCCTAGATAAAGACATTTTCATGAATTTGAGAAAGTTACATTTTATGGAAATTGCTGTGAGTGGTGAAGTGAAAATAATAGTCGACTACGCGTCAATTGGAGGCCTGCCCGCCTGGATTTGGTTCGACGCAGTCGGCACATTCTGAAGGAAAGATAAATACATATTGTGGAAAGATAGACCACTGCTAATGCTGCCTATACTCTAACGTAGCCCCATAATTCTAGTCGATTTTACTGCTAAGTCATTGAAACTTGTTGTGCTCAGAATCGTGATAATTTGATTTGTTTTAGACAAGGGTGAAACTTTCTTGACACTTGAATGACCCGGAGATAAATCAGGCCAACCGTTGACAGAAAACGAACCTGCTGTTCGTGTTTTAACCACTAGGTGGTAGCCTAAGACTGTCATTAGTCTTATCTTGAAATCTAAGGAAATAATTATGAAATTGTGAATCAAATTTAAGCTTATGAGGAAAATAGTATTTCCATATCACAATGAACTGCAGAGGTGGATTCGTTCTATTGTTGTGTCTGTTCTATTGTTGTGTCTGTTTGTGTTTTTAAGACATAGAGTGAGTAAAATAACATTCTCAACTCCATATGTTGGGATGGTTAAAAATATAGACTATGAACCACACCCCAAACACATTCTAACGGGATTTTGTCATGCTGGAGCTGAGCTGGAAAGAGTAAAATATGTCCCCAAAAATATAGGGGGAGGGGGGATTCTGAAATTATAGACTACTTTACTCAAAGCTACATTTCAATCACTTTAAATGTAGCCTTCAACTTTTCTATTTTTATTAAGCATGATTTGATTAATTTGTTTTGCGTCGTTCTACTTCACATGTGACTTTTGTTCACATTCATCAAATTTACAAGAACGACTTGAGGGCAACCCGTCCTTCTACTGTAAATGTCATGTCTCTCAGGTGTAGTTCTAGTGCGCATGGCTCCTCCCCCATCCGTTCCAATTTGTTAGGACAGGAAGAAGACTACTGTGGACGTGTTTGAACGCTGTCACTCGGGAAAGTTAATTTGTTGCAGTAATGACACGAATTTGGGGAAACTATAATAATGGAGTCAACAGTGACATGACCACGGTGTTGTATAGAAACAACTTGTGGTAGTAGGAAGAACCGTCAAATTTTTTTTTACCGAGTTTTAAGATATCTAGCTAGTCAGCCATCATTCTCTACCGCATAGACAGGGAGGCACTCAAAATTTGCGAGGATTACGGACAACCTCTTTCTTTGGGAAGACTATTGCGCAACATTAACTAGCTAGATGTAATGGTAAAGTTGTGTTTGGTGCAACAACAAAGAGTCGTCAAGAGTGGCTCCTATACATTTTCCTTCCGTTGTTTGGGGGTACTTTAAATTTCCCTCCTTTTTCAGTCACAGGCGGGGGGTTCGGGTTATTGGCTACAGCTAGCCACTTGCTAAAAGTAACTAGTCCAAAAGCAGTAAACTAGTACAGACAGTCCTCAGGGGCTACTCAGACCTTTTTTCGTCGGAAAGGACAGCTTTTGATAACTTGGTAGTGGGGCGTAAGTTTGTTTTGTGTAAAAATACGGAAATCACCGGGTGTGTTTTGGGGTTTATTTTTGTTCTCCCTTTGAGGAAATTGTCTAAATCACAATGGATCCTAATGCGGGGAATTCTGCCTCTGCTGCTACTCCCAAAAGCAAGAAGGACAAGAAAGAAAAGAAAAGTAATGAAGATGGAGACGGGAAAAAGAAATTTGTACGTATTCATTTAATATTTCACTGCTTGTGAGTTAGCTAGCTAACGCACTCCTGTTCAATGTTACTTTAGAGCTCTGATGACAACATGCTGAACAAGTGTGGACGCATCAACAGCTACTTTTTGGTAGAACAAGTGGCTTGTCATTATATCACTTGTATCTCTGCCTACCAAACCTGCTTGTGATTATATTTAATTTGCAGCCAGTTATATTATAATATTATTCAGCGTGTTTTCCCACCACTCTGAAATCTGCAAGGCTAATGTCAAACCTTGGTTCGTGAACCAATGAGGAAGTAGGTAGCTATCCACCTTCTCAAACTCTGAAGCGTTGCAATGAGTGACATTGTAGCAAACGGCGTGACTCGCGGTTTGGAAACTGTAACCCGGTAGCAAGTTCGTGTTTGTTTTGGAGATGAAACGGTTAGGGTTTTTCACAGGTTACTGTCTCCGGATTGAACCGGGGTATAGTACAGTACATCATATGGAATACATGTTATTCTCTGTTCTGCACTTTCACACGCAGGCAAGGAATTTGCATGGTCTCCCTTGCGGGATAATATTCTGAAATGTCATTTACACGTCACAATAACATAAACGATTTTGAATGAGAAATATATTTAAATCATCAACAGAAAGAATATGTTACTTTGTATGGTAGAGTTAAACACTGACATGCGGTACATCGCGCTGGCTGTAGTAACCTGATGGAGGGGATATAGTAACATCATAGCCAGTGAGAGTACCCATGGTAAGAATGGGTAATTCAATGTGATGAATGATATCAGCAAAATGTCCGCGATAAGTGGTCGGTGTCGATCATTTTCGGTTGTTCGCCTCAGCTCTAACACAGAGGTCATTAGATCAACCCTGCCTGGACACACCTCAAGCAGAAATAACCCTTCCCAGCATGCAACACTGCCCCCACCTGATGCCCATCCCACTAGACAGAGGCCACAGATTGGCTGATGATGAACCCTCTGACAGTAGTTCTACACACAGTGAGAGTTTTGTAACACTGTAACACAACCCTTGACCTCTGCCTGTTGAGTTGTTCAGTCTCTCATTAGCTGTGCGGGGGAAAGTAGGATACCTAGTCAGATGCACAACTGAATGCATTCAACTGAAATGTCTTCCATGTTTAACTCAACCACTCTGAATCAGAGAGGTGCGGGGGCTGCCTTAATCGACATCCATGTCATCGGCACCCAGGGAGCAGTTATTGTTGGGGGTTAACTGCCTTGCTCAAAGAACGGCAGATTTGTCCACCTTGCCTGCTCGGGGATTCAAACCAGCGACCTTTCAGTTAGTGGCCCAATGCTCTTAACCACTAGGCTTCCTGCCGATGAGTGCACCTGGCGGGGCAGCCCCTCTCTCTGGATAAGAGCATATTATAGCTCAGAGAATGAGAGCTCATGTGAAACTGGAGTGGTAAATGCACCTGGAGGAGCCTCTTGGATCTGAAGGAGGGAGGGGGAAATGGGGGGAGAGTCGTAGGGAGAATCGGGGAGAGGTAGGGGGTTGCAGGGGGATGGATATTATTAGTAGAGATTCCACAGTGGATTAAGAAAAAGAGCGGTGTTGTCGTTAGAGATGACATGGCTTTGAGCTTGAGTCAGATATATGCATGTAGAACAGAAAAACAGCATGCAGGGCTGCCTTTTACAGTCTTTTATGTCAAACAATAAACATCAAAATATATATCTGAACTTGGGGGGCCAAATACACGGCCGCCAGTTGGGGAACCCTGATATAGGCTTTGACTGTGGTGCCTAGTAAACCCTACAGGTGCAGAGTATGTAGCCTAAAGAGCGTGAGCTCGGTCTGTCCTAACTGGATAAGTGACTTGTGTAATAAAAGTCTGCTATGTCAGGGCAAGCAGGCAGAGGAATGCATTCGCTCACTGCAGGAATCTAATCTTCTACATACTTACATTTTTCCTCTCCTCTCCTTGACTGTTTCTTTTTCTGTTTTCTCTCATTTCATCACATTCACATGCTTTCTGTTGTGTTCGGTCTCTGTTTTATCTCATGATCATCTGGAAGGATGGAGCTTTGTTAGGCATGGATCATGAGTTCTTATCTTATCATTGATCCATTGTTCTATGCTACTGACGTAGCCCACTAGGTGATGATCGGTATTGTAGGCCCATGTGTTGAGTCATTGAAATGGGTGTGGATTGGGTGGGTGTTCTGTGATATTTGTCCCAGTGTCAGTCAGGCTGGACACAGCTAGTCAACTCACTGAGGAGAAAGTAACAGAGGTGATAAACCGTGTCAAATCAAATTTAATTTGTCACATACACGTGTGTATGCAGATGTTATTGCGGGTGTAGCGAAATGCTTGTGCTTCTAGCTCCGACAGTGCAGTAATATCTAACAAGTAATATCTAACAATTTCACAACATATACCCAATACACACAAATCTAAGTAAGGAATGGAATTAAGAATATATACATAGATGGACGAGCAATGACAGAGCGGCATAGACTAAGATACAGTAGAATATTATAGAATAGAATACAGTATATACATATGAGATGAGTAGTGCAAGATATGTAAACATTATTAAAGTGACTAGTGTTCAATTTCTTAAAGTGGTCAGTGATTTATATAGGCGGCAGCAGCCTCTAATGTGCTAGTGATGACTATTTAACAGTCTGATGGCCTTGAGATATAAGCTGTTTTTCAGTCTCTCGGTCCCAGCTTTGATGCACCTGTACTGACCTCACCTTCTGGATGATAGCGGGGTGAACAGGCAGTGGCTCGGGTGGTTGATGTCCTTGATGATCTTTTTGGCCTTCCTGTGACCGGGTGCTGTAGGTGTCCTGGAGGGCGGGTAGTTTGCCCCCAGTAATCCGTTCAGCAGACCGCACCACCCTCTGGAGAGCCCTGCGGTTGCAGGCGGTGCAGTTGCCGTACCAGGCGGTGATACAGCCCGACAGGATGCTCTCAATGGTGCATCTGTAAAAGTTTGAGGGTTTTAGGTGCCAAGCCAAATTTCTTCAGCCTCCTGAGGTTGAAGAGGCTCTGTTGCGCCTTCACCACACTGTCTGCGTGGGTGGGCCATTTCAGTTTGTCAGTGATGGCCAAGTCCACGATCATCTCCTTTGTTTTGTTGATCTTGAGTGAGAGGTTATCTTCCTGGCACCACACTCCCAGAGCCCTCACCTCCTCCCTGTAGGCTATCTCATCATTGTTGGTAATCAAGCCTACTACTGTTGTGTCGTCTGCAAACTTGATGATTGAGTTGCTTGGTCACACAGTCATTTGACAGCCTCTGCTCTTCAAACATGCTGGCTAAAGAGCTGTGTCAAGAACCATGTCGGTGTATATCTCTGTGTGTTGGTGTGCATTCTGCATTATAATTGTGTGTGTGTGTGCACCTGCCTGCTTATGTGTGTGTGTGAGGGCGGCGAAGAACAGAGAACACCTCATTCTGTGCTACTTAGCTAACTTCTTTAGTAAATCCCTCTTTCTTCCCTTTTTAGGACGTTAAACAAGTGCCTGTCTGTGTGCATGTACCCCACTGCCTTGGTTTATTGAATGTTCCAGTCTGTCTGCATGTACCCCACTGCCTTGGTTTATTGAATGTTCCAGTCTGTCTGCATGTACCCCACTGCCTTGGTTTATTGAATGTTCCAGTCTGTCTGCATGTACCCCACTGCCTTGGTTTATTGAATGTTCCAGTCTGTCTGCATGTACCCCACTGCCTTGGTTTATTGAATGTTCCAGTCTGTCTGCATGTACCCCACTGCCTTGGTTTATTGAATGTTCCACACTTAACTGCACTGATTTAGGTTCCACCTGTCTTTGATGGTGAATGCTTTTTCTGTTGGAGTCAGTTGAGTTGAGTGAACGAACACCCATTATATAGTGGGGAGAACAAGTATTTGATACACTGACGATTTTGCAGGTTTTCCTACTTACAAAGCATGTAGAGGTCTGTAATTTTTATCATATGTACACTTCAACTGTGAGAGACAGAATCTAAAACAAAAATCCAGAAAATCACATTGTATGATTTTTAAGTAATTAATTTGCATTTTATTGCATGACATAATTATTTGATCACCTACCAACCAGTAAGAATTCCTGCTCTCACAGACCTGTTCGTTTTTCTTTAGGAAGCCCTCCTGTTCTCCACTCATTACTTGTATTAACTGCACCTGTTTGAACTCGTTACCTGTATAAAAGACACCTGTCCACACACTCAATCAAACAGACTCCAACCTCTCCACAATGGCCAAGACCAGAGAGCTGTGTAAGGACATCAGGGATACAATTGTAGACCTGCACAAGGCTGGGATGGGCTACAGGACAATAGGCAAGCAGCTTGGTGAGAAGGCAACAACTGTTGGCGAAATTATTAGAAAATTGGAAGAAGTTCAAGATGACGGTCAATCACCCTCGGTCTGGGGCTCCATGCAAGATCTCACCTCGTGGGGCATCAATGATCATGAGGAAGGTGAGGGATCATCCCAGAACTACACGGCAGGACCTGGTCAATGACCTGAAGAGAGCTGGGACCACAGTCTCAAAGAAAACCATTAGTAACACACTACGCCGTCATGGATTAAAATCCTGCAGCGCACGCAAGGTCCCCCTGCTCAAGCCAGCGCATGTCCAGGCCCGTCTGAAGTTTGCCAATGACCATCTGGATGATCCAGAGGAGAATGAGAGTAGGTCATGTGGTCTGATGAGACAAAAATATAGTTTTTTGGTCTAAACTCCACTCGCCGTGTTTGGAGGAAGAAGAAGGATGAGTACAACCCCAAGAACACCATCCCAACCGTGAAGCATGGAGGTGGAAACATCATTCTTTGGGGATGCTTTTCTGCAAAGGGGACAGGACGACCGCACCGTATTGAGGGGAGGATGGATGGGGCCATGTATCGCGAGATCTTGAAGATGGGTCGTGGCTGGGTCTTCCAGCATGACAATGACCCGAAACACACAGCCAGGGCAACTAAGGAGTGGCTCCGTAAGAAGCATCTCAAGGTCCTGGAGTGGCCTAGCCAGTCTCCAGACCTGAACCCAATAGAACATCTTTGGAGGGAGCTGAAAGTCCGTATTGCCCAGCAACAGCCCCGAAACCTGAAGGATCTGGAGAAGGTCTGTCTGGAGGAGTGGGCCAAAATCCCTGCTGCAGTGTGTGCAAACCTGGTCAAGATCTACAGGAAACGTATTATCTCTGTAATTGCAAACAAAGGTTTCTGTACCAAATATTAAGTTCTGCTTTTCTGATGTATGAAATACTTATGTCATGCAATAAAATGCAAATTAATTACTTAAAAATCATACAATGTGATTTTCTGGATTTTTGTTTTAGTGTACCTATGATAAAAATTACAGACCTCTACATGCTTTGAAAGTAGGAAAATCGGCAGTGTATCATACTTGTTCTCCCCACTGTATATGTTTTGTTCTGTCCATCTCACCTCTGTTTTATCACTGATAAATGCTTGCTTTTGACACATTCTATGAACTCATGCTGCTTTCCATCCTCGCCAAGCCACAGTGCTCGCAGTCCCATTAGTAGGGGCAAAGCGATGTTTAATCTAAATATTGTATTAATGTGGTCTGGAGGTGTTTGAACTCTAATATTAAACTTTCAGTCTCTGGTGTGTTTGTCTCTGGGCTGTTCTGTGACAACATGGGCTAACCTTTTAAACTCTTCAGTTGTATTGAAAGAATGGGAGTCATTTCTGCTTTTCTTTGTCAAACACATCCTTTTTCTTGGACGCGGGCGTTTCTTGTTTAAATGTTTATTTTCATTTATGAAAACAGTTAGGCTGCAGTACAAATCCAGCTATTACCTCATTTTACTATCTCAATGTTCCTTTACTATGTTGCAAGACTTTAGAAAGCCAGTTTGAGTTAGTAACTGTGCATGTACATATCTGCTTGTTATTCGCTAAACAAAGACACAAACCTTCTGACTCTTCAGTCTATAGTGTTGCAGGAAGTTGTGCAAAAATTAGAAACAGGAAGTTTCCTTTTTTTTCCCCATTACCCATTCTGTCACTACACTACCCCTCCTCTCCATCCATTGTGGCAGGACCCAGAGGCACCAGCGTGGGTAGTAAATACAGTTACACAACTCAACTCACTGTTGATATTTTTGAACATACTCTTAATCTGAGAAGGAGTACTAGGCTACCTCGTGTCTGAGAAGGAGTACTAGGCTACCTCATGTCTGAGAAGGAGTACTAGGCTACCTCATGTCTGAGAAGGAGTACTAGGTTACCTCATGTCTGAGAAGGAGTACTAGGCTACCTCGTGTCTGAGAAGGAGTACTAGGCTACCTCGTGTCTGAGAAGGAGTACTGGTCTACCTCATATCTGAGAAGGAGTACTGGTCTACCTCATGTCTGAGAAGGAGTACTGGTCTACCTCATGTCTGAGAAGGAGTACTAGGCTACCTCATGTCGTAAGCATGCAAGGCTTTACTCCCATCAGTGAGAGCCAATGGACAGAAAGACAAGCAGTAAACACACAGAGAGCGATGAACCAGGGGATGGCATAACTCAACTGAAACCCTGTTAACCTGCATTGTTTAGCCTACCACACACACACACACACACACCCTTCTAGTATCAGTGGATGGCATTCCTCAGCTAACCCCTGGTCATCCCAGGCACCTTGTTAAACTGCCATGATGTTTCTCTGTCACTGCGTCTGACCCATGTGTCAGGTGAGAACCTAACCTCTGATCCTCATGGTCGTTGCAGGCCTGCTCAGCTACACGCCTGTTTGTTCAAGGGATTATTCACTGAACCCTGGCCGGCCAGCATGCTAGTTAGTGATGGGGGGGGAAAATCGATAGTTACATATCACAATATTATATTTGGACAATCATATCGATATTTGACTTGTTTGCTACTGCAGTTAGCATTAGCTAGCGCTTGTCGGCTCTACTTGCGCCAAAACTCAGGTATTTGTCATCCTACAGCTTGTTCTCCATCTACTTTTTAAATAGTGATTCAACATGTTTTTAGCACTTTTATTTCCCTGACTGATTTAAAATGTATTTTCTCATCTCTCTTGTCTCTCTGCAGCATACATATAGTGAGCAATATGTTTGGAACATGAAATCGCAATAAAATCACAGTATCGAATTGCAATACATATAGAATCGAGAGAATCGCAATACATATCTTATCGGCACCTAAGTATCGTGATAATATCGTATTGTAAGGTCCCTGGTAATTCCCAGGCCTAAAGATAGTACAGGGTGTCTGAGCTGTGTGTGCAGCCATCAGGCGTGCATAGTGCTTGGATCTGCCAAGCATGTCATGCAAACGCACGCCCAGTCGACCACATCTAGATCCTCTGTGTGACTGATCACTTACAGCAGTTATCCATTCCAGCTGGTAGTCTTTATTTCCTGCTGTGGCTTTTCCACCTGTAGGTTCTGCAGCAGGTTACATCACCATAGTAACGCACACTTCCTGATCTGAGCTGTCTAATAGGAGAGTGCTGCACAACTTACTGCGGTGTCTCACATCACCCAGACTGAACATGAGGATATCTTAGGGTCAAGTGAACTTGAAATTGCCCATTAGTCTATAATCTTGTAATATTGGATTTTATCCCAAGAGTATCAACTGAGTGAGACACCAAACTGGTATCGTTAAGTCATGGTGACATTCTCGACTCCCCACTAGCCCTGGAGTAGGGAGTCGTTTGTGTGTGTAGCTCTGTACTGACGGCCAGGGAGGTTGAACTACGACGATCAGCAGTGACTTACCTACCTGCATCTAAGTGCTCACTCAGATACTCTCATGGACGTGCAGACATAGACACACACACACACACTAGAGGGGGCTTTGTTCGAAGGCTTCTTGTCTAATCCACCCCAAACCACTAATTTCTATGAATAAGTGTTATGTGAAAACAAAAATTTTTGGGAACACATTTTTAATTTTGTCGTTATAACAAGGTTGGTAGCAACATGTGAAAATCGTTTTGGAAATCTGTTGCCAGCTCAAGTCGACAAAAAAACCCACAATCCAATGCTCTCTCTCTGGAATGGATAGCTGATTAGGTGATCTGGAGTGAAGGTAATTGTTTTAAAAGCGTTATGAAATGTGATTTATGTGCTATCACCAATGACGAGAACCATGTAGCCAATGTTCCCTCACATTTTTGGGGGGCCCTGAGCAAAGTTCAGGTCTGCTGAGTGCAAACTTCCAGCGTGTGTTTACTGTGAACAGGGATGCTGTACTCACTTTAAGTTACAGTTTTAGACAGTGGTCAAGTAGGCTACTGTGGTTATTTCATTATAATGTAGGCCTACCAGAGTGGCCTACCATCAAAAACAATGGAGAAAATGCATCCCATAACATTTTAACTATCGTTCAGCCTACAAAAGCAGCCAATGTGTGGTGTTCAATGTAGGCCTACATTCCATGAGACTTTTTGAAAAAAACATGCAGGGCTTGACATTAACCTGTTCATCCACTTGTCCTTCAGACAAGGAGGTGACTGAAAATGTTGTTTGATGCAAGAAACCACTTTACAAAATAAAATGCATTGTTATTCCCATACAATTATTACAGAGAATCAGACAAATATGCTACCCTCTGCCTATTGGCTACTTAGCTTATTGAAGCCTTACTCAAAATACAACACTGCCCCTTTAAGACAAAAAAAAGCTATTTATCTGACTAGCATTTCAACGTTTTGTGCTCTTGTAGGAAGCAATCACTCCCCCATTGCTGACTACAAATGAGCTGTAACTGGTATAATAACTCACTAACTAGCAAAGGATATGAACAAATGTGCAAAAACGAAGACGGATTCAATACTTAGAATTTTTAAATGTAAATTATTATATACAATTCTTGCAACCAATAGGATGTTATTTATATGTGGGATACAATCTTCCCAGCTCTGCAGATTTTGCTGCGAAGAGACAAAATCATTAGATCATTTGTTTTGGTACTGTCCATTTGTATCTTGTTTTTGGACACAGGTCCAGGAATGGCTAAAGGATTGCAATATCTACCTGGAGCTAACTCTGCAGATAGCATTACTGGGTGATCTGAAAAGTCATAGTCAATCGATCAATAATATAATAATACTTTTAGCAAAAATGTTTATTTTCAATTTACAATCTATAGAAACAATGAGAATAGAAAGGTTCAGAACTTTTGTAAAACATCACAGTACAGTTGAAAAATATATGGCAAATAGAAATCCAATATGGATGGGGTTAAGAGAGAGATGGGTGGTGTTGAATGGAGTTGAAGGATGGGACTAATAACAACTAACAACAACCAATAACAAGAGAACTAATAATGTAAGCATACTGTGTCCATGTATGTGTGTGTATGTATGTGTATGTGTATGTACAGTGGGGGAAAAAAGTATTTAGTCAGCCACCAATTGTGCAAGTTCTCCCACTTAAAAAGATGAGAGAGGCCTTTAATTTTCATCATAGGTACACGTCAACTATGACAGACAAAATGAGAAAAAAAAATCCAGAAAATCACATTGTAGGATTTTTTATGATTTTATTTGCAAATTATGGTGGAAAATAAGTATTTGGTCAATAACAAAAGTTTCTCAATACTTTGTTATATACCCTTTGTTGGCAATGACACAGGTCAAACGTTTTCTGTAAGTCTTCACAAGGTTTTCACACACTATTTTGGCCCATTCCTCCATGCAGATCTCCTCTAGAGCAGTGATGTTTTGGGGCTGTCGCTGGGCAACACGGCCTTTCAACTCCCTCAAAGATTTTCTATGGGGTTGAGATCTGGAGACTGGCTAGGCCACTCCAGGACCTTGAAATGCTTCTTACGAAGCCACTCCTTCGTTGCCCGGGCGGTGTGTTTGGGATCATTGTCATGCTGAAAGACCCAGCCACGTTTCATCTTCAATGCCCTTGCTGATGGAAGGAGGTTTTCACTCAAAATCTCACGATACATGGCCCCATTCATTCTTTCCTTTACACGGATCAGTCGTCCTGGTCCCTTTGCAGAAAAACAGCCCCAAAGCATGGTGTTTACACCCCCATGCTTCACAGTAGGTATGGTGTTCTTTGGATGCAACTCAGCATTCTTTGTCCTCCAAACACGACGAGTTGAGTTTTTACCAAAAAGTTCTATTTTGGTTTCATCTGACCATATGACATTCTCCCAATCCTCTTCTGGATCATCCAAATGCACTCTAGCAAACTTCAGACGGGCCTGGACATGTACTGGCTTAAGCAGGGGGACACGTCTGGAACTGCAGGATTTGAGTCCCTGGCGGCGTAGTGTGTTACTGATGGTAGGCTTTGTTACTTTGGTCCCAGCTCTCTGCAGGTCATTCACTAGGTCCCCCTGTGTGGTTCTGGGATTTTTGCTCACCGTTCTTGTGATCATTTTGACCCCATGGGTGAGATCTTGCGTGGAGCCCAGATCGAGGGAGATTATCAGTGGACTTTTATGTCTTCCATTTCCTAATAATTGCTCCCACAGTTGATTTCTTCAAACCAAGCTGCTCACCTATTGCAGATTCAGTCTTCCCAGCCTGGTGCAGGTCTACAATTTTGTTTCTGGTGTCCTTTGACAGCTCTTTGGTCTTGGCCATAGTGGAGTTTGGAGTGTGACTGTTTGAGGTTGTGGACAGGTGTCTTTTATACTGATAACAAGTTCAAACAGGTGCTATTAATACAGGTAACGAGTGGAGGACAGAGGAGCCTCTTAAAGAAGAAGTTACAGGTCTGTGAGAGCCAGAAATCTTGCTTGTTTGTAGGTGACCAAATACTTATTTTCCACCATAATCTGCAAATAAATTCATTAAAAATCCTACAGTGTGATTTTCTGGATTTTTTTTTCTTAATTTGTCTGTCATAGTTGACGTGTAACTATGATGAAAATTACAGGCCTCTCTCATCTTTTTAAGTGGGAGAACTTGCACAATTGGTGGCTGACTAAATACTTTTTTTCCCCACTGTATATATATATATATATATATATATATATATATATATATATGTGTGTGTGTGTGTGTGTATATATACAGTGGGGAGAACAAGTATTTGATACACTGCCAATTTGGCAGGTTTTCCTACTTACAAAGCATGTAGAGGTCTGTATTTTTATCATAGGTACACTTCAACTGTGAGAGACGAAATCTAAAACAAAAATCCAGAAAATCACATTGTATGATTTTTAAGTAATTCATTTGCATTTTATTGCATGACATAAGTATTTGATCACCTACCAACCAGTAAGAATTCCGGCTCTCACAGACCTGTTAGTTTTTCTTTAAGAAGCCCTCCTGTTCTCCACTCATTACCTGTATTAACTGCACCTGTTTGAACTCGTTACCTGTATAAAAGACACCTGTCCACACACTCAATCAAACAGACTCCAACCTCTCTACAATGGCCAAGACCAGAGAGCTGTGTAAGGACATCAGGGATACAATTGTAGACCTGCACAAGGCTGGGATGGGCTACAGGACAATAGGCAAGCAGCTTGGTGAGAAGGCAACAACTGTTGCCGCAATTATTAGAAAATGGAAGAAGTTCAAGATGACGGTCAATCACCCTCGGTCTGGGGCTCCATGCAAGATCTCACCTCGTGGGGCATCAATGATCATGAGGAAGGTGAGGGATCAGCCCTGAAGAGAGCTGGGACCACAGTCTCAAAGAAAACCATTAGTAACACACTATGCCGTCATGGATTAAAATCCTGCAGCGCACGCAAGGTCCCCCTGCTCAAGCCAGCGCATGTCCAGGCCCGTCTGAAGTTTGCCAATGACCATCTGGATGATCCAGAGGAGGAATGGGAGAAGGTCATGTGGTCTGATGAGACAAAAATTGAGCTTTTTGGTCTAAACTCCACTCGCCATGTTTGGAGGAAGAAGAAGTATGAGTACAACCCCAAGAACACCATCCCAACCGTGAAGCATGGAGGTGGAAACATCATTCTTTGGGGATGCTTTTCTGCAAAGGGGACAGGACGACTGCACCGTATTGAGGGGAGGATGGATGGGGCCATGTATCGCGAGATCTTGAAGATGGGTCCTGGCTGGGTCTTCCAGCATGACAACGACCCGAAACACACAGCCAGGGCAACTAAGGAGTGGCTCCGTAAGAAGCATCTCAAGGTCCTGGAGTGGCCTAGCCAGTCTCCAGACCTGAACCCAATAGAAAATCTTTGGAGGGAGCTGAAAGTCCGTATTGCCCAGCGACAGCCCCGAAACCTGAAGGATCTGGAGAAGGTCTGTATGGAGGAGTGGGCCAAAATCCCTGCTGCAGTGTGTGCAAACCTGGTCAAGACCTACAGGAAACGTATGATCTCTGTAATTGCAAACAAAGGTTTCTGTACCAAATATTAAGTTCTGCTTTTCTGATGTATCAAATACTTATGTCATGCAATAAAATGCAAATTAATTACTTAAAAATCATACAATGTGATTTTCTGGATTTTTGTTTTAGATTCCGTCTCTCACAGTTGAAGTGTACCTATGATAAAAATTACAGACCTCTACATGCTTTGTAAGTAGGAAAACCTGCAAAATCGGCAGTGTATCAAATACTTGTTCTCCCCACTGTATATGTGTGATATATATATATATATATATATTTATTTTTTTTCGAGGGGAAAAAAACATGAGGGATTGGAAGTTAAATAGACAGTTACATTGATGGAAGTTACAATCTATCTGCAATATTAAAGCTGATCTACCCCCTAAAAAAAAAATCCCAAAAAATAAACTGCTACATGCAGCTCTCGCTTTGATCTCAAAACAAGCGCATCTACTCACGATCCTCATGCTGTAAACACAGTCCAGTTCAAAGTGAATGGCACAGATCCATACTGTATATGGTATATTTGTATATAGACCTACTGCAGTTCTGATTGGTTATGCGTCACCGGTCTGTGAAGAGTACGGGCTGAGTAGTGTGTGTCAATGCAATAGAATCCTACAAAATCTCTTGCATAGTTTGTTTTGCATACTAAGTCTTGCATAGTTGGTTTTGTTTCTGTATGCTGTATGTTGCATTGAAGGTGGTTAATATTGCATTGATTTGATCACAATTCCCACAGTAAAGGGAAACATTGATAGTGTTAACTAAGGGGAAAACTCTAGAAAGTTTAGTGAAGTTCAATCTAGTGCTTCTCTGCGTGGGCTGATATTTATTCTGCGGGGCAGTCCCGGGGAGCTGCGTACCTGCACGCAGATTACAGGGAACGTTGCATGTAGCTACGACGCGTTCCTATTCGATTTCCTGATTTCACAGACGGGCCACTTAGAAGTTAAGTCACGGGGAAAATTGTTATTGAACATTGGCTTAAACCAAATTGACAGGAGTTTCATGATTGTTATTTCTGGGGGTGGATTATCCCTTTAACCTATTATTTTAGCACTGACTTAAAGTTAACCTCGTTATGCCTAAAATCAGCCGTGCAAATCTAAGTTAACCTCATGACACTTAACCGGAACATTTGCATTAAGTGGCCTGAGCCGAGCAACAGATTCAGTGTGCTCCGTTTCTCTCTTAGTTACAATTCAGGTAGCTAGAGCTCTGTTTTTGGGATACAGAGAGAGGTCAATCAGGGGTCATAACCTCTCTTCTGAGTGTTCTGACACTGACAGATTTCAATTTTTTCTCACTGAAGTTACCCTCTTCCCCTCACTCTATCCCTCTCTTCCTCTCACTCTATCCCTCTCTTCCCCTCACTCTGTCCCTCTCTTCCCCTCACTCTATCCCTCTCTCCCCCTCACTCTGTCCCTCTCTTCCCCTCACTCTGTCCCTCTCTTCCCCTCACTCTGTCCCTCTCTTCCCCTCACTCTGTCCCTCTCTTCCCCTCACTCTATCCCTCTCTCCCCCTCACTCTGTCCCTCTCTTCCCCTCACTCTGTCCCTCTCTTCCTACTCTTCCCTCCTACTCTGTCCCTCTCTTCCCCTCACTCTGTCCCTCTCTTCCCTCACTCTATCCCTCTCTTCCCCTCACTCTGTCCCCCCCTCCTCTTCCCCTCACTCTGTCCCTCTCTTCCCCTCACTCTGTCCCTCTCTTCCCCTCACTCTGTCCCTCTCTTCCCCTCACTCTGTCCCTCTCTTCCCTCACTCTGTCCCTCTCTTCCCCTCACTCTGTCCCTCTCTTCCCCTCACTCTGTCCCTCTCTTCCCCTCACTCTGTCCCTCTCTTCCCCTCACCTCCTCTCTCCCACTCTCCTCTCTTCCCCTCACTCTTCCCTCTCTTCCCCTCACTCTGTCCCTCTCTTCCCCTCACTTTTCCCTCTCTTCCCCTCACTCTGTCCCTCTCTTCCCCTCACTCTCCTCCCCCTTCCCTCACTTTCCCCTTCCCCTCTCTATCCCTCTCTTCCCTCACTCTAGTCCCTCTCTTCCCCTCACTCATCCCTCTCTTTCCCCTCTCTCCCTCTCTTCCCTCACTCTGTCCTCTCTTCCCTCACTCTTCCCTCTCTACCCTCACTCTGTCCCTCTCTTCCCCTCACTCTGTCCCTATCTCCCTCCTCTATCCTCTCTTCTCACCTCTTTCCCTCTCACTCTGTCCCTCTCCTCCCCTCACTCTGTCCCTCTCTTCCCCTCACTCTATCCCTCTCTTCCCCTCACTCTATCCCTCTCTTCCCCTCACTCTGTCCCTCTCTTCCCCTCACTCTATCCCTCTATTCATTATGTTCGTGTCCATTTTCATTGAAAACTGCTGCTGATTTACACTCTCTGTCTCTCAATCGTCTGTCACTGTGCTTCTGCAGTACCCAGATCCAAACATAGACAAGACAGATGGCCAGGTAGATAAACAGTCAGACAGACAGGGTGTGTATGATGAGGAAGTTATGCTGTTATTTGTGTTCTGTGAGGGATTAGTCAGGATGAAAGCATCTCCCATTCTCAGACTGATTGACAGATTACTGCTAATCTGACTCTGCCCTGTTACACCCTGGACAGCACAGGTAAACAAGCACACAGCATCGTGCGACCTCGTGTCAGTTAGAGGAAGTGGGGGGTCGGAGTAAGTTGAATAAGCACACTGCAAGTCCCTCTCTCTCTCTCTCTCTCTCTCTCTCCCTCTCCCACCTCTCTCACTCTCTCCTCCCTCTTCCCCATATTTTCTAGCATGCTAGCAGATACCCATGGACTCCCAGTCATTGCGCTAATGCTAGTTAGCATTGGCTCGTGAAACTATTTCTAACTTCCTTCATACTGGACACAGAGACATAAAAATGGTATCCACAAGTTCTAAAGTAGATAAAGGGCTTAATTGCCAAATTCCCGAAGTATCCCTTTAAGATGGGTATAAATCGTGGGGGGATACCTCAGTTTTCCCCCACACAGCCAACACAAAATGTATACCGGTGAGATGAATGGTCATACATGGTGAAGTGATAGGTAGAGCATCGGGCGGCAAGATTCACTTTTAAGTGTTGATGCTGGGGTTGACAGTGAGTGTAGGAAATGGAGCTTAATCTGCAACCTGTCAATAACACACAAGTCAGTCTAAACTCTTATCTGATGTGACAGGATGTAGGCTGGCCTTCCTGCTGATCAGGTGTCATTTAAGTATGATGGGAGGGAGGAGGAAACGAACAGAGAAATATCAGTTATTCAGTGGAGTCATACTTTAGATGAAAACCTTTAGAATGAATGTTACTGACTGAACTTTGCCATTCAACGTTTGAACCTTTGATTTTAGTAACCACCAACGAGGCCTGTATAACAGAAGAGAGAGGGCATGATCAGGAGTGGGATATATATATATATATATACACTCACACACACACACACTCAGTCAGTCAGTCATGTGAAAAAGTAAGTACACCCCCTGGAAAGTGGTCTTATTTGGACAGATGGATATTTGAGCAAAATTCCAATCACATTCATTGATAAAGGTAACCCAATTTAACTAATCACAAAAAGAAAATACACTTTTAAAATGTTATGCAAGTAAAATAAGCAAAAATGCATTTTCCTTATGCGGAAAACGTTAGTACACCCATACCTTTACCATCACATAAAATGACTAAACTTAGAATCAGGTGCACCAAAACAGGTGCAAATGATTAGAAAATCATTAGAGAGTAACTTGGGAGTGTCCAGCCTTCCATAAAGATTAGAACTTGGTCTGGTTTGGTCTTAACCATATGGGTGTGTGGTAAGATCAAAAGACCTACCCGAGGACCTCAGAAGAAAGATTATTGATGCCCATGAGTCTGGGAGGGGTTACAAATCAATTTCCAAGCAATTCGAAGTACATAATTCCAGTGTCCGATGGATCATCTACAAATGGAAAAAATTCCAGACCACTGGCAATCTACCTAGGACAGGTCGTCCCACCAAATTCAGCCCAAGAACTGACCGAAAGATGCTCATTGAAGTCTCTAAGAACCCTAGGGTAACATCAAGGGATCTACAGGCCTCTCTTGCAACAATCAATCAAATCAAATCAAATTCTATTGGCCACATGCGCCGAATACAACAGGTGCAGACATTACAGTGAAATGCTTACTTACAGCCCTTAACCAACAGTGCATTTATTTTTTATAAAAAATGTAACATAAAACAACAACAAAAAAGTGTTGAGAAAAAAAGAGCAGAAGTAAAATAAAATAACAGTAGGGAGGCTATATATACAGGGGGGTACCGGTGCAGAGTCAATGTGCGGGGGCACCGGCTAGTTGAGGTAGTTAAGTAATATGTACATGTGGGTAGAGTTAAAGTGACTATGCATAAATACTTAACAGAGTAGCAGCAGCGTAAAAAGATGGGGTGGGGGGGCAGTGCAAATAGTCATGATTAGCTATTCAGGAGTCTTATGGCTTGGGGGTAGAAGCTATTGAGAAGTCTTTTAGACCTAGACTTGGCACTCCGGTACCGCTTGCCGTGCGGTAGCAGAGAGAACAGTCTATGACTAGGGTGGCTGGAGTCTTTGACAATTTTGAGGTCCTTCCTCTGACACCGCCTGGTATAGAGGTCCTGGATGGCAGGAAGCTTGGCCCCAGTGATGTACTGGGCCGTACGCACTACCCTCTGTAGTGCCTTGCGGTCGGAGGCCAAGCAGTTGCCATACCAGGCGGTGATGCAACTAGTCAGGATGCTCTCGATGGTGCAGCTGTAGAATTTTTTTTAGGATCTGAGGACCCATGCCAAATCTTTTCAGTCTCCTGAGGGGGAATAGGCTTTGTCGTGCCCTCTTCACGACTGTCTTGGTGTGTTTGGACCATGATAGTTCGTTGGTGATGTGGACACCAAGGAACTTGAAGCTCTCAACCTGTTCCACTACAGCCCTGTCGATGAGAATGGGGGCGTGCTCAGTCCTCTCTTTTTTTTCCTGTAGTCCACAATCATCTCCTTTGTCTTGGTCACGTTGAGGGAGAGGTTGTTATCCTGGCACCACACGGCCAGGTCTCTGACCTCCTCCCTATAGGCTGTCTCATCGTTGTCGGTGATCAGGCCTACCACTGTTGTGTCGTCGGCAAACTTAATGATGGTGTTGGAGTCGTGCCTGGCCATGCAGTTATGGGTGAACAGGGAGTACAGGAGGGGACTGAGCACGCACCCGTGAGGGGCCCCCGTGTTGAGGATCAGTGTGGCAGATGTGTTGTTACCTACCCTTACCACCTGGGGGCGGCCCGTCAGGAAGTCCAGGATCCAGTTGCAGAGGGAGGTGTTTAGTCCCAGGATCCTTAGCTTAGTGATGAGCTTTGAGGGCACTATGGTGTTGAATGCTGAGCTGTAGTCAATGAATAGCATTCTCACGTAGGTGTTCCTCTTGTCCAGGTGGGAAAGGGCAGTGTGGAGTGCAATAGAGATTGCATCATCTGTGGATCTGTTGGAGCGGTATGCAAATTGGAGTGGGTCTAGGGTTTCTGGGATAATGGTGTTGATGTGAGCCATGACCAGCCTTTCAAGGCACTTCATGGCTACAGACGTCAGTGCTACGGGTCGGTAGTCATTTAGGCAGGTTATCTTAGTGTCCGGGGACTATGGTGGTCTGCTTGAAACATGTTGGTATTACAGACTCAGTCAGGGACATGTTGAAAATGTCAGTGAAGACACTTGCCAGTTGGTCAGCATATGCTCGGAGTACACGTCCTGGTAATCCGTCTGGCCCTGCGGCCTTGTGAATGTTGACCTGCTTAAAAGTCTTACTCACATCGGCTACGGAGAGCGTGATCACATAGTCATCCGGAACAGCTGGTGCTCTCATGCATGCTTCAGTGTTGCTTGCCTCGAAGCGAGCATAGAAGTGGTTTAGCTCGTCTGGTAGGCTTGTGTCACTGGGCAGCTCGCGGCTGTGCTTCCCTTTGTAGTCTGTAATAGTTTTCAAGCCCTGCCACATCCGACGAGCGTCAGAGCCGGTGGAGTACGATTCAATCTTAGTCCTGTATTGACTCTTTGCCTGTTTGATGGTTCGTCGGAGGGCATAGCGGGATTTCTTATAAGCGTCCGGGTTAGAGTCCCGCTCCTTGAAAGCGGCAGCTCTACCCTTTAGCTCAGTGCGGATGTTTCCTGTAATCCATGGCTTCTGGTTGGGGTATGTACGTACGGTCACTGTGGGGACGACGTCATCGATGCACTTATTGATGAAGCCAGTGACTGATGTGGTGTACTCCTCAATGCTATCTGAAGAATCCCGGAACATGTTCCAGTCTGTGCTAGCAAAACAGTCCTGTAGCTTAGCATCTGCGTCAGCTGACCATTTTTTATTAACCGAGTCACTGGTGCTTCCTGCTTTAGTTTTTGCTTATAAGCAGGAATCAGGAGGATAGAGTTATGGTCAGATTTGCCAAATGGAGGGCGAGGGAGAGCTTTGTATGCATCTCTGTGTGTGGAGTAAAGGTGGTCTAGAGTTTATTTTTTCCTCTTGTTGCACATTTAACATGCTGGTAGAAATGAGGTAGAACGGATTTAAGTTTCCCTGCATTAAAGTCCCTGGCCACTAGGAGCGCTGCCTCTGGATGAGCGTTTTCCTGTTGACTTATGGCCTTATACAGCTCATTCAGTGCAATCTTAATGCCAGCATTGGTTTGTGGTGGTAAATAGACAGCTATGAAAAATATAGATGAAAACTCTCTTGGTATATAGTGTGGTCTACAGCTTATCATAAGATACTCTACCTCAGGCGAGCAAAACCTCGAGACTTCCTTAGTATTTGATTTTGTGCACCAGCTGTTGTTTACAAATATACACAGACCGCCACCCCTTGTCTTACCGGAGTCAGCAGTTCTATCCTGCCGATGTAGCGTATAGCCCGCTAGCTCTATGTTATCCATGTCGTCGTTTAGCCACGACTCGGTGAAACATAAGATATTACAGTTTTTAATGTCCCGTTGGTAGGATAACCGTAATCTTAGGTCATCCAATTTATTTTCCGATGATTGAAGATTGGCTAATAGGATTGATGGGAGCGGCAGTTTACTCGCTCGCCGCCGGATCCTTACAAGGCACCCCGACCTACGTCCACGATATCTCCGTCTCTTCCTCATGCGAATGACGGGGGATTTGGGCCTTGTCGGGTGTATGTAGGATATCCTTGCGGCCGCCTCTTGAAGAAAAATTATTCGTCCAATACGAGGTGAGTAATCACTGTCCTGATATCCAGAACAATTTTTGGTTATAAGAGACGATGGCAGAAACATTATGTACAAAATAAATTACAAATAACGCGGAAAAACACACATAATAGTACAATTGGTTAGAGGGCTGTAAAACGGCAGCCATCTTCTCCGGCGCCATCAATGTCAAAGTGCATGAGTCAACTGTCAGAAAGAGACTGCACAAACTTGGCCTACATGGGAGGTCAGGAAGGAAGAAGCCTCTGCTCTCAAAAAAGAATATAAAGACACGACTGACGTTTGCCAGACAACACCTGGGTAAAGACCAAAAATATTGGAACAATGTGCTCTGGACAGATGAGTCAAAGGTGGAGTTGTTTGGCCGCAATGCCAGACGCCATGTTTGGCGAAAACAAAACACTGCCTTTGAACAGACAAACCGCAGACCGACCGTAAAGCATGGAGGCGGTGGCATTATGGTTTGTGGCTGCTTTGCTGCCTCAGGGCCTGGCCAACTTGCCATCATTGAGTCAACCATGAATTCCATATTGTACCAGAGAATTCTTGAGGAGAATGTGAGGCCATCTGTCAGAAAGCTGAAGCTGAACCGAACATGGGTCTTGCAACAGGACAATGATCCAAAACACACAAGCAAAGCTACAACAGAATGGCTCAAAAATAAGAAATGGACGGTTATGGAATGGCAGAGTCAAAGCCCAGATCTCAATCCTGTCGAAATGCTGTGGGGGGAATTGAAGTGGGTCGTGCATGCAAGAAAGCTCTCGAACATGACACAGTTGTGAAGCAGTACTGTAAAGAAGTGGGCAACAATTCCTCCTAGTCGATGTAAGAGACTGATAGACAGTTACAAAAAACAGCTACATGAAGTTATTTCATCCAATGGGGGCAACACCAGCTATTGAAGTTAGGGGTGTACTTATTTTTGTCTGCACTATGGAATTGTATTTCTATTGATTTTTGATGAATAAATGATTGGAAAGTATAATCTGTCAGTGGCATTTGTTACATTTGGTTACCTTCATCTGTCAATAGTGTTGAAGTGAAGATGACGTATCAATTTTTCCAAATGTACAAAAAAAAGACAACTTTGCAGGGGGTGTACTTAGTTTTTACCTTAACTGTACATACAGTGCATTCGGAAAGTATTCAGACCCCTTGACTTTTTCAACATTTTTGTTATGTTACTGCCTTATTCAAAAATGGGTTAAATGAAAACATTTGCTCATCAATCTACACACAACACCCCGTAATGACAAAGCGAAAACAGGTTTTTATAAATGTTTGCAAATGTATTAAAAATAAAAATAATAAATACCTTATTTACATAAGTATTCAGACCCTTTTGCTATGAGTCAATTGAGCTCAGGTGCATCCTGTTTCCATTGATCATCCTTGATGTTTCTGCAACTTGATTGGAGTCCACCTGTGGTCAATTCAATTGATTGGACATGATTTGGAAAGGCAACCAGCTTATTTCTGCAGCATTGAAGGTCCCCAAGAACCCAGTGGCCTCCATCATTCTTAAATGGAAGAAGTTTGTAACCACCAAGACTCTTCCTAGAGCTGGCCGCCCGGCCAAGCTGACCATTTGGGGGAGAAGGGCCTTGGTCAAAGAGGTGAACAACAACCCGATGGTGAGTTCCTCTGTGGAGATGGGAGAACCTTCCAGAAGGACAACCATCTCTGCAGCACTCCACCAATCAGGCCTTGATGGTAGAGTGGCCAGACGGAAGCTTCAACAAAGTACATAGTAATGGGTCTGAATAAATATATATATATATATATATATATATATATATATATATATATATTTCAGTTTTAATTGTTATTAAATGTGAAAACATTTCTAAAAAAACTTTTTTTGCTTTGTCATTATGGGGTATTGTGTGTAGATTGATGAGGGGGAAAAAACACTTTAATCCATTTCATAAATAAGGCTGTAATGTAACAAAATGTGGAAAAAGTCAAGGGGTCTGAATTCTTTCCGAATGCACTGTATAGAAAAGAAGAACCATCAATAGAGAGACTGGTTTAGAGAGAGGCAAAGGACAAGGGGATTGAGAGAGACCGAGATGGAGATCATGTGGGGAAAAATAGTACAAATATAGGAACTTTTGTTTGGGTATGTGGGCTTCTAGGAACACTGTCTGTTTCTATAGAGAGGGCCTTATCAAACCCTGGGCATGAATATTAGCTGAGTCAGTGGGGTGGGTTGTTGACAGTAGGCTAGTAGAAGAGGGAGGGTGTGTGTTGCTGAGTCTGTGGTTTGACAACTTTTGAAGTGTGTGTGTATGTGTGCGAGCAAGAGAGTTTGACAGTCTGCTAATGCATGCTCTGGGTGGGTGTACAGGTACACGGTGTGAAACTGCTCTATGCAGCCTACTCATTACGGAGACTCAGGCTTTGGGTTTGGAGCATTATCGGAATGGATACTTCCTCACTGCAGGCATCTCTCTAGTCTAACATAACACTGTCTCCCCATTATCCTGGAACAGCTGTGAAAAGCTGTGAGCCTTGTCTCCCAGTCCGAGTGCAAGTACCCAGCAGTCAACCTACTCACACTGGACCCATGCCAATTAGTGGGAGGAAAGTTTGGTGTGTGTGTCCTGGAGGGTTAATACTGGACAAGGCTGTGTGGGATGTGTGGCGCAGAGGTTTCAGACAGTCGGATCAAGCTGCTGAGAACACTAAGGCTGTGGGTTCAGTAACTGCATAGGGGCATTTCCATGGTAACGGAATTATACTTTGACTCAGTTTTTTTTCACTTTAAAATGTACACCAAACAACAGCCATTGATTTCAAAGTTTAACAAACCGTACAACTCTATGCACAAGCATGACTTTTAACAATTTCCACTGAGAAATGTATAAAAGCAAATTAAGTGGAAGAACTGTGCAGATGCAAGCTTTGGTAACGGAATGACGGTAAAATCTCCCTCAGGTTTTTATGCGAAGACGAAAAAAAAAAAAAAACTCTGTTAAATATCTGTTCTGAATTAAGAGTTACAGTTCATATATGGAAAACAGTCAATTGAAATAAATTCATCAGGTCCTAATCTATGGATTTCATGACTGGGAATACAGATACCTTTAAAAAAAAGTAGGGAGTGGATCAGAAAACTAGTCAGTATCTGGTGTGACCACCATTTGCCTCATGCAGTGCGACATTGCCTTCGCATAGAGTTGATCAAGCTGTTGATTGTGGCCTGTGGAATGTTGTCCCATTCCTCTTCAATGGCTGTGTGAAGTTGCTGGATATTGGCGGGAACTAGAACACGCAAATGTTGATCCAGAGCATCCCAAACATGCTCAATGGGTGACATGTCTGGTGAGTATGCAGGCCATGGAAAACCTGGGAAATGTTCAGCTTCCAGGAGTTGTGTACAGATCCCTGCGACATGGGCCGTGCATCATCATGCTGAAACGTGAGGTAATGGTGGCTGATGAATGGCACGCCAATAGGACTCAGGATCTCGTCACGATATCTCTGTGCATTAAAATTTCCATCGATTTAAATGCATTTGGGTTCGTTGTACGCATCTTATGCCTGCCCATACCACAACCTCACCACCACCATGGGGACACTCTGTTCACAATGTTGACATCAGCAAACCGCTCGCCCTTCTGCCCGGTACATTTGAAATCGGGATTGATCCATGAAGAGCACACTTCTCCAGCATGCCAGTGGCCATCGAAGGTGAGTATTTGCCCACTGAAGTTGGTTACGACGCTGAACTGCAGTCATGTTAAGACCCTGTTGACGACAACGAGCACACAGATGAGCTTCCCTGAGATGGTTTCTGACAGTTTGTGCAGAAAGTCTTCGATCGTGCAAACCCACAGTTTCATCAGCTGTCCGGGTGGCTGGTCTCAGACGATCCCCCAAGTGAAGAAGCGGGATGTGGAGGTCCTGGGCTGGCGTGGTTACACGTGGTCTGTACTGCCAATTCTCTTAAAACGACATTGGAGGCAGTTTTTGGTAGAGAAATTGACATTACATTTTCTGGTAACAGCTCTGGTGGACATTCCTGCAATCAGCATGCAAATTGCACACTCCCTCAAAACATGAGACCTCTGGGGCATTGTGTTCTGTGACAAAACCTCACATTTTAGAGTGGCATTTTAATGTCCCCAGCACAAGGTGCACCTGTGTAAATACCATACTGTTTAATCAGCTTCTTGATATGCCATACCTGTCAGGTAGATGGAATATATAGACAAAGGGAAAATGCTCGCTAACAGGGATGTAAACAAATTTGTGCACAACATTTTTGTGAATTAAGCTTTATGTGCATCTGGAACATTTCTGGGATATTTTATTTCAGCTCATGCAACATGGGACCAGCACTTTACATGTTGCGTTTATAGTTTTGTTCAGTATATTTTGGTTATTGAACTACAGTAAGTGAAGCGGATTTACACCCGGTAACAGAGTTATGGTAACAGCATGGGTCCCTGTCTGATCTGTACTACACAGAAATGCATAATTATGGATATGAATGTCATTTTCCTCATGTTTCACAAGTTTGGACATCACAGCGCAACACAGCAGAGCAGAGTAGAGTTCATTACAGTACTATACTTTACTTTTCTTTACTGTATTGTACTGTATTGTGCTATCCAAACTTGTGAAACATACAGTTGAAGTCGGAAGTTTACATACACTTAGGTTGGAGTCATTAAAACTTGTTTTTCAACTACTCCACATATTTCTTGTTAACAAACTATAGTTTTGGCAAGTCGGTTAGGACATCTACTTTCTGCATGACACAATTATTTTTTCCAACAATTGTTTACAGACAGATTATTTCACTTATAATTAACTGTATCAACATTCCAGTGGTTCAGAAGTTTACATACACTAAGTTGACTGTGCCTTTAAACAGCTTGGAAAATTCCAGAAAATATTGTCATGGCTTTAGAAGCTTCTGATAGGCTAATTGACATAATTTGAGTCAATTGGAGGTGTACCTGTGGATGTATTTCAAGGCCTACCTTCAAACTCAGTGCCTCTTTGCTTGATATCATTGGAAAATCAAAAGAAATCAGCCAAGACCTCAGAAAAATAATTGTAGACCTCCACAAGTATGTTTCATCCTTGGGAGCAATTTCCAAACGTCTGAAGGTACCACATTCATCTGTACAAACAATAATACGCAAGTATAAACACCATGGGACCACGCAGCCATCATACTGCTCAGGAAGGAGACGCGTTTCTCTCTCCTAGAGATGAACATACTTTGGTGCGAAAAGTGCAAATCAATTCCAGAACAACAGCAAAGGACCTTGTGGGGCGGCAGGTAGCTTAGTGGTTAAGAGCGTAGTGCCAGTAACCGAAAGGTTGCTGGTTCTAATCCCCGAGCCGACTAGGTGAAAAATCTGTCGATGTGCCCTTGAGCAAGGCACTTAACCCTAATTGCTCCTGTAAGTCGCTCTGGATAAGAGCGTCTGCTAAATGTCTAAAATGTAAATGTAAATGTAATGAAGATTCTGGAGGAAACAGGTACAAAAGTATCTATATCCACAGTAAAACGAGTCCTATATCAACGTAACCTGAAAGGCCGCTTAGCAAGGAAGAAGCCACTTCTCCAAAACCACCATAAAAAAGCCAGACTACGGTTTGCAACTGCTCATTGGGACAAAGATCGTACCTTTTGGAGAAATGTCCTGTGGTCTGATGAAACAAAAATAGAACTGTTTGTTCTTAACATATTGCTCACCATATGTATGCTGCAGAGGGACAAGAGAGCCATGAGAAAACGAGTTTTGATCAGTCATGGAAATGAAAATGTTGAAAATAAATTTGCTCCCTATATAAAAAGAACATGGAGAACAAGCTATGAAGGAAACATACTGAAGTTTAGGTGCAGGTACAGCCAACTACCACTAAAGTAATATTGCGATTTGTCAAAACGATACGATATATCGTCAAAAATAATATTCTCAATACGTAATATATATATAAATTCTCCCACCATCACTAGTTTGTGTGTAAACAGGGTAAGGATGAACAGTGAATGGACTTGTTGATGGCAGGCAGATGGAGACGTAGGTGATTAAGGGGGGCGGCGCTGTCACTTATCGAGTTCCTTTGTTTACTCACTTTCTCACACAGATTGATCTGCCTGCATCATTAAACTGTAAGCCCTCAGGGAGAGGGAGTCAACGTCCTCTTCCTGTATACAAGTGCATGGGGGTATTTTTGGGAGGTGATCAGTGGGGGAGTTGGTTATTTATGGGGGGGTCAGTGGGGGAGTTGGGTATTTTTGGGAGGGGGTCAGTGGGGGAGTTTTGGGAGGGTGTCAGTGTGGGAGTTGGGTATTTTTGGGAGGGGGTCTGTGGGGGAGTTGGGTATTTTTTGGAAGGGGTTACTTAAAGATTTCGAATGAACCCCGTTATCCTCCTACACACAATTCTAAACTCCCCATGTCTAATTCTAGCCCTATGTATGTGTGACAGAATACATGAGGGTGTGTGTAAGAGAATGTATTCGCCTTTGTGTGTCCGTGTGTGTGAGTATCAGTGTCCAGTCTTCTGTCGGAGGTGCTGTGAGTGACTGACAGTTAGTGATAGATTGGTCACTCTGTATCATTTCATCCACAGGCTGTCTCTGTGTGTAATCAATGCATAATTTGCTCAAGGCTGTGGGGCCTTCGTCCCAGCCTCTTGCCCCAGAGAGGGCTCTCACCACAGGGGCAGAAAGCCCCTCAACACTGGGTCCACGGAGGCCCCAGTCATGAATAGACAGCTGTTAAATCAAGAGACCCTGGCTGTGAGGTGGATTGATGGACACTGACACAGAATGTCCAGACGAGAGAGAATGTAAAGAAATCATATTTCTGCTGAACTACCAATTTGGTGAGGTAGTTGAGTTCATATAGTACATCCAAATCACACAATTAATACATAACCAGAATTCCATTTAGGCATGCCACTTTAAGCAGGCAGTTGACTATTCACATAACATTCAAAGATGGCCGTCTGCCTGTGTGGAATGCCACCAGACAGACGTGGTTACAGTGGGAATGCTTTCTACTAGGCTTGGGAAACACACACACACACGTTGGCGTGGGCGGAAAGGGGTATGATGAAGCTGTCACAGCTTTTTATGTCTGAGCTGTCTATCACAGGTCTAACCCATGGAACAGCTGGGTGTGCTGCTGGTGCATGGTGGGTCTAGTGTGTGCTGCTGGTGCATGGTGGGTCTAGTGTGTGTGCTGCTGGTGCATGGTGGGTCTAGTGTGTGTGCTGCTGGTGCATGGCGGGTCTAGTGTGTGTGCTGCTGGTGCATGGTGGGTCTAGTGTGTGTGCTGCTGGTGCATGGTGGGTCTAGTGTGTGTGCTGCTGGTGCATGGTGGGTCTAGTGTGTGTGCTGCTGGTGCATGGTGGGTCTAGTGTGTGTGCTGCTGGTGCATGGCGGGTCTAGTGTGTGTGCTGCTGGTGCATGGCGGGTCTAGTGTGTGTGCTGCTGGTGCATGGTGGGTCTAGTGTGTGTGTGCTGCTGGTGCATGGCGGGTCTAGTGTGTGTGCTGCTGGTGCATGGCGGGTCTAGTGTGTGTGCTGCTGGTGCATGGTGGGTCTAGTGTGTGTGCTGCTGGTGCATGGCGGGTCTAGTGTGTGTGCTGCTGGTGCATGGTGGGTCTAGTGTGTGTGCTGCTGGTGCATGGTGGGTCTAGTGTGTGTGCTGCTGGTGCATGGCGGGTCTAGTGTGTGTGCTGCTGGTGCATGGTGGGTCTAGTGTGTGTGCTGCTGGTGCATGGTGGGTCTAGTGTGTGTGCTGCTGGTGCATGGTGGGTCTAGTGTGTGTGCTGCTGGTGCATGGTGGGTCTAGTGTGTGTGCTGCTGGTGCATGGCGGGTCTAGTGTGTGTGCTGCTGGTGCATGGTGGGTCTAGTGTGTGTGCTGCTGGTGCATGGCGGGTCTAGTGTGTGTGCTGCTGGTGCATGGCGGGTCTAGTGTGTGTGCTGCTGGTGCATGGTGGGTCTAGTGTGTGTGCTGCTGGTGCATGGTGGGTCTAGTGTGTGTGCTGCTGGTGCATGGCGGGTCTAGTGTGTGTGCTGCTGGTGCATGGCGGGTCTAGTGTGTGTGCTGCTGGTGCATGGCGGGTCTAGTGTGTGTGCTGCTGGTGCATGGCGGGTCTAGTGTGTGTGCTGCTGGTGCATGGCGGGTCTAGTGTGTGTGCTGCTGGTGCATGGTGGGTCTAGTGTGTGTGCTGCTGGTGCATGGCGGGTCTAGTGTGTGTGCTGCTGGTGCATGGCGGGTCTAGTGTGTGTGCTGCTGGTGCATGGCGGGTCTAGTGTGTGTGCTGCTGGTGCATGGCGGGTCTAGTGTGTGTGCTGCTGGTGCATGGCGGGTCTAGTGTGTGTGCTGCTGGTGCATGGCGGGTCTAGTGTGTGTGCTGCTGGTGCATGGCGGGTCTAGTGTGTGTGCAGCTGGTGCATGGCGGGTCTAGTGTGTGCTGCTGGTGCATGGCGGGTCTAGTGTGTGTGCTGCTGGTGCATGGCGGGTCTAGTGTGTGTGCTGCTGGTGCATGGCGGGTCTAGTGTGTGTGCTGCTGGTGCATGGCGGGTCTAGTGTGTGTGCTGCTGGTGCATGGCGGGTCTAGTGTGTGTGCTGCTGGTGCATGGCTGGTCTAGCCTGTGCTGTGAAGAGACTGGCTGCTGTTCTTACTGTATAGGTTCATCTCTAGTTTGCCAGGATTAGTTGCAAAAGAAAGTAAACTGATGATAATGGCAGTGCTGGGGTTAATGTGTTGGGTTGTAGCACCCTAACTAGTTGTCCACCCAAGATGAGCCTTAGGTTGTTTGTTTGTGCTCTCTCTCTCAGTGTTTTGTAGTGTAATGTGAATGATTGTGGTCTCTCTCTGTCAGTGTTTTGTAGTGTAGTGTGAGTGAGTGATTGTGGTCTCTCTGTGTTTTGTAGTGTGAATGATTGTGGTCTCTCTCTGTGTAGTGTGAATGATTGGGCTGAGAGGGAACTGTGCTTCCGTAGAGGTAGGGGGGCTATCAGGCCAGAGGTGGATGAACATATTGCCCTCGTTTGGGTGTAGCGTCTGATCAGAGCCTGAAGGTAAAGAGGGCCTAGAGCTGAGCCCTAGGGGACACCAGTGGTGAGAGCACGTGGTGCTGAGACAGATTCTCGCCACGCCACCTGGTAGGAGCGACCTGTCAGGTAGGACTCAATCCAAGAGTGAGCAGCGCCGGAGATGCCCAACTTGGAGAGGGTGGAGAGGACGATCTGATGGTTCACAGTATCAAAGGCAGTAGATAGGTCTAGAAGGATAAGAGCAGAGGAGAGAGAGTTAGCTTTAGCAGTGCGGAGAGCCTCCGTGACACAGACAAGAGCAGTCTCAGTTGAATGACCAGTCTTGAAACCTGACTGGTTTGGATCAAGAAGGTCATTCTGAGAGAGATAGCAGGAGAGTTGGCTAGAGACGGCACGCTCGAGTTTTGGAGAGAAAAGAAAGAAGGGATACTGGTCTGTAGTTGTTGACATCGGAGGGATCGAGTGTAGGTTTTTTGAGGAGGGGTGCAACTCTCGCTCTCTTGAAGACGGAAGGGACATAGCTAGCGGTCAAGGATGAGCGAGGTGAGGTAAGGGATAAGGTCTCCGGAAATGGTCAGGAGAAGAGGGGATAGGGTCAAGCGGGCAGGTTGTTGGGCGGCCGGCCGTCGCAAGATTTCATCTGGAGAAAGAAGTCAAAGCGTAGGGTAGGGCAGTGTGAGCAGGACCAGCGGTGTCATTTGACTTAATAAATGAGGATCGGATGTCGTCAACCTTCCTTTCAAAATGGTTGACGAAGTCATCCACAGAGAGGGAGGAGGAGGATTCAGCAGGGAGGAGAAGGTGGAAAAGAGCTTCCTAGGGTTAGAGGCAGAGGCTTGAAATTTAGAGTTGTAGAAAGTGGCTTTAGCAGCAGAAACAGAGGAAGAAAATGTAGAGGAGGGAGTGAAAAGATAACAGGTCCACAGGGAGTCTAGTTTTCCTCCATTTCCGCTCGGCTGCCCGGAGCCCTGTTCTGTGAGCTCGCAATGAGTCGTCAAGCCACGGAGCAGGAGGGGAGGACCGAGCCGGCCGGGAGGATAGGGGACATAGAGAGTCAAAAGATGCAGAAAGGGAGGAGAGGAGGGTTGAGGAGGCAGAATCAGGAGATCGGAGGGAGAATGATTTAGCAGAGGGAAGAGATGATGGGATGGAAGAGGAGAGAGTAGCGGGAGAGAGAGAGCGAAGGTATTGCCTGCCTTGTGAGTAGGGGGGGACGGTGAGAGGATGAGGTCAAAAGAGGAAAGGAGTGGAAAGAAGGAGGCAGAGAGAAATGAGTCAAAGGCAGACGTAGGGAGGTTAAAGTCACACAGAACTGTGAGGGGTGAGCCATCTTCAGGAAAGGGACTTATCAAGGCGTCAAGCTCATTGATGAACTCTCCAAGGGAACCTGGAGGGCAATAAATGATAAGGATGTTAAGCTTGAATGAGCTAGTGACTGTGACGGCATGGAATTCAAATGAGGAGATAGACAGATGGGTCAGGGGGAAAAGAGAGAATGTCCACTTGGGAGAGATGAGGATTCCTGTGCCACCGCCGCGCTGACCAGATGCTCTCGGGTATGCGAGAACACATGATCAGACGAGGAAAGAGCATTAGGAGTAGCAGTGTTTTCTGTGGTAATCCATGTTTCCGTCAGCGCCAAGAAGTCGAGGGACTGGAGGGTAGCATAGGCTGAGATGAACTCTGCCTTGTTGGCCGCAGAACGGCAGTTCCAGAGGCTGCTGGAGACCTGGAACTCCACGTGGGTCGTGCGCGCAGGGACCACCAGATTAGAGGGCAGCAGCCACGCGGTGTGAAGCGTTTGTATGGCCTGTGCAGAGAGGAGAGAACAGGGATAGACAGACACATAGTTGACAGGCTACAGAAAAGGCTTCAATAAAGCAAAAGAGATCGGAATAAAATTAACAAAACATCTGGGGAAGCGAGAGAGCGAGGCCTACCTCACTTACCTTTCACTGAAACACTCAAATATATCTCTCCCAACTTCCTCTTTAGAAATTATAATTGTTGTAAACTACAGCGGTTCAATGTTTTCGAGGAATAGACTCTAACTTAGTTTATTCAGCTAGCTAACTTGGTACTGTATTCTTCTGTGAAAACCGCCCAGGGCACCGTATCCTATGACGCCATAGCTAATTAGCATGTTAGCATCCAATAACACACGGTTTAGCACCAATACTTAGTTACAACAAACTACCAATAGTGTGTTAACACACTAAACAGATCATTCGTGTCCGTGTCTAGTTCCTTTCATAACGCAGAAATAATTAAACGTTGGCTAGCTAGCACAAAGTTAGTCATTCTAGCTACACAAGTGGACTACACATCTCGAATGTTCAGAAAGTGAAGCTTTACGTTGCAAAATTCTCATTGACTAAAATGATATTGTATTTAGTTGCTACAGTACTGCTAGCTGGTAGTGTTGGCTAGCTAGCAATGGCTGCAGTGTTGACTTTGTTTGAAAAACGGCGTCGCTGCGAACGAATGTAGCTGGCTAGCTAACCTCGATAGTTTCTCTATACTACACCTTTATCTTTGATACAAAGACAACTATGTAGCTAGCTAACATTACACTAATCAAATTGTTCCAATGTAATGTGTGACATATTACCTGCGGAGCGAAGTACAGCAATAATACCTAGCTAAATGCTTGTGTTTTTAGCTCCAACAGTAATAATGCCTAGCTATGTGGTCCTCTGTAGCTCAGCTGGTAGAGCACGGCGCTTGTAACGCCAAGGTAGTGGGTTCGATCCCCGGGACCACCCTTACACAAAAATATTTATGCACGCATGACTGTAAGTCGCTTTGGATAAAAGCGTCTGCTAAATGGCATATTATTATTATTATTATTATTATAAATGCTTGTGTTTCTAGCTCCTTTCTAGCTCCAACAGTAATAATACCTAGCTAAATGCTTGTGTTTCTAGTTCCAACAGTAATAATACCTATCTAAATGCGTGTGTTTCTAGCTCCAACAGTATTAATACCTAGCTAAATGCTTGTGTTTCTAGCTCCAACAGTAATAATACCTAGCAGTACAAAAAGTAAAAACAAACATTAAGAAATATCAGAACGAGCAATTGTCAGAGTCCGGAATATACACTGCGTGTACAAAACATTAAGAACACCTGCTCTTTCCATGAGACTGACCAGGTGAAAGCTATGATCCCTTATTGATCTCACTTGTTAACTCCACTTCAATCAGTGTAGATGAAGGGGAGGAGACCGGTTAAAGAAGGATTTTTAAGCCTTGAGACAATTGAGACATGGATTGTGAATGTGTGCCATTCAGAGGGTGAATGGGCAAGACTAAAGATTGAAGTGCCTTTGAACGGGGTATGGTAGTAGGTGCCAGTTTGTGTCAAGAACTGCAATGCTGCTGGGTTTTTCACGCTTAACAGTTTCCCGTGTGTATCAAGAATGGTCCTCCAGCAAACTTGAAACAACTGTGGGAAGCAATGGAGTCAGCATGGTCCAGCATCCCTGTGGAACGCTTTCGACACCTTGTAGAGTCCATGCCCCGAAGAATTGAGTCAGTTCTGAGGGCAACGGTGTGTATGGACAGTATATGAATAGAAAAGGTGTGCACAGCAGTAGCTATATAGGATGAGCCTTGACTAGAATACACTATATATATATATATACACAGTGGGGAGAACAAGTATTTGATACACTGCCGATTTTGCAGGTTTTCCTACTTACAAAGCATGTAGAGGTCTGTAATTTTTATCATAGGTACACTTCAACTGTGAGAGACAGAATCTATTTTTAAAAAATCCAGAAAATCACATTGTATGATTTTTAAGTAATTAATTTGCATTTGATTGCATGACATAAGTATTTGATACATCAGAAAAGCAGAACTTAATATTTGGTACAGAAACCTTTGTTTGCAATTACAGAGATCATACGTTTCCTGTAGGTCTTGACCAGGTTTGCACACACTGCAGCAGGGATTTTGGCCATACAGACCTTCTCCAGATCCTTCAGGTTTCGGAGCTGTCGCTGGGCAATATGGACTTTCAGCTCCCTCCAAAGATTTTCTATTGGGTTCAGGTCTGGAGACTGGCTAGGCCACTCCAGGACCTTGAGATGCTTCTTACGGAGCCACTCCTTAGTTGCCTTGGCTGTGTGTTTCGGGTCGTTGTCATGCTGGAAGACCCAGCCACGACCCATCTTCAATGCTCTTACTGAGTGAAGGAGGTTGTTGGCCAAGATCTCGCGATACATGGCCCCATCCATCCTCCCCTCAATACGGTGCAGTCGTCCTGTCCCCTTTGCAGAAAAGCATCCCCAAAGAATGATGTTTCTACCTCCATGCTTCACGGTTGGGATGGTGTTCTTGGGGTTGTACTCATCCTTCTTCTTCCCCCAAACACGGCGAGTGGAGTTTAGACCAAAAAGCTATATTTTTGTCTCATCAGACCACATGACCTTCTCCCATTCCTCCTCTGGATCATCCAGATGGTCATTGGGAAACTTCAGACGGGCCTGGACATGCGCTGGCTTGAGCAGGGGGACCTTGCATACGCTGCAGGATTTTAATCCATGACGGCGTAGTGTGTTACTAATGGTTTTCTTTGAGACTGTGGTCCCAGCTCTCTTCAGGTCATTGACCAGATCCTGCCGTGTAGTTCTGGGCTGATCCCTCACCTTCCTCATGATCATTGATGCCCCACGAGGTAAGATCTTGCATGGAGCCCCAGACCGAGGGTGATTGAACTTCTTCCATTTTCTAATAATTGCGCCAACAGTTGTTGCCTTCTCACCAAGCTGCTTGCCTATTGTCCTGTAGCCCATCCCAGCCTTGTGCAGGTCTACAATTTTATCCCTAATGTCCTTACACAGCTCTCTGGTCTTGGCCATTGTGGAGAGGTTGGAGTCTGTTTGATTGAGTGTGTGGACAGGTGTCTTTTATACAGGTAACGAGTTCAAACAGGTGCAGTTAATACAGGTAATGAGTGGAGAACAGGAGGGCTTCTTAAAGAAAAACGAACAGGTCTGTGAGAGCCGAAATTCTTACTGGTTGGTAGGTGATCAAATACTTATGTCATGCAATAAAATGCAAATTAATTACTTAAAAATCATACAATGTGATTTTCTGGATTTTTTAGATTCCGTCTCTCACAGTTGAAGTGTACCTATGTTAAAAATTACAGACCTCTACATGCTTTGTAAGTAGGAAAACCTGAAAAATCGGCAGTGTATCAAATACTATATATATATATATATATATATATATATATATATATATATATATATACATACATACATACATACATACATACATACATACATACATACATACATACATACATACATACATACATACATACATACATACATACATACATACATACATACATACATACATACATACATACATACATACATACACACAACACACACACACACACACACACACACAGTGAGGGGGCAAAAAGTTTTTGATCCCCTGCTGATTTTGTACGTTTGCCCACTGACAAAGACATGATCAGTATATAATTTTAATGGTAGGTTTATTTGAACAGTGAGAGACAGAATAACAACAAAAAAATCCAGAACAACGCATGTCAAAAATGTTATAAATTGATTTGCATTTTAATGAGGGGAAAACGTATTTGGATTTTTTTGTTGTTATTCTGTCTCTCACTGTTCAAATAAACCTACCATTAAAATTATATACTGATCATGTCTTTGTCAGTGGGCAAACGTACAAAATCAGCATGGGATCAAATACTTTTTTCCCTCAATGTATGTGTTGTAAGAAAGCTGCTTGTGTTTCCTAGATAGTTATCCCGCTGTAGGGATGGTGAGTAAGGTTTTAAGTATGTCAGTATGACTTCCTGTTGTAGTTGTAAACAGGAGGTGTTGTCACCCTAACACAGGCATGTCGCCTGCCAGAAAACCCCATGCTGTGACAGAGCACAGCTTCCACCTGGGGAGCCATGGCAACCCTGTAAGCACCCATATCAACAGTCACAGTGTAGATTACAATACACACAATCTCCTGTTCTATCCACCATTTGTCTCTCTCTTGCTCTCACATACTCTCTCTCTCTCGAAGAGAGGCATTTTCTCCTTCTCTGTTAATATAAATAGGGTTAGGGTTAAATAAGTATCTAACTGGCAGTATTTTCCCCATGACATCACTGGTTTTTTAGGCTCTGTCTACGGAAAGGATCTCCAAATAGTCAGACCTGTCCAGGAGAGGGAGAGAAAGAAGGGAAGAGAGGGAAAGAGAGAAAGATAGAGATGAGGAAAATAAAGTGGTTATTAATGAATTGAAGGTGTTATTTATTGAATCTTAATCATACAGCTTGCCAGTTAGACATGCAAGTTGGGTCAATTCACTCAACTCATTGTGGCATTACTAAACTATGAAAAGGTTGCCTCTGACCTCTGTTTTTCTCTAAAGGGAAATTACTAATAACACATCCCAACACTGGCTGTAAAATCATTATCAAACGGAGTGTCTGTGTGTGTTATCTTGTTTTCTCCCTCTAGCTCTGCTCTCTAGTTCTCCCTCTAGCTCTGTCTCTGCTCTCCCTCTAGCTCTGTCTCTGCTCTCCCTCTAGCTCTGCTCTCCCTCTAGCTCTGTCTCTGCTCTCCCTCTAGCTCTGTCTCTGCTCTCCCTCTAGCTCTGCTCTCTAGTTCTCCCTCTAGCTCTGTCTCTGCTCTCCCTCTAGCTCTGTCTCTGCTCTCCCTCTAGCTCTGTCTCTGCTCTCCCTCTTAGCTCGCTTCCTCCCCAGCTGTCTCTCTCCCTCTAGCTCTGTCTCTGCTCTCCCTCTAGCTTGTCTTCTCGTCTCCCTCTGCTCTGCTCTCCCTCTAGCTCTGTCTCTGCTCTCCCTCTAGCTCTGTCCGCTCTCTCTGCTCTGCCTCTGTTCTCCCTCTAGCTCTGCTCTGCTCTCCCTCTAGCTCTGTCTCTGCTCTCCCTCTAGCTCTGTCTCTGCTCTCCCTCTAGCTCTGCTCTCTGCTCTCCCTCTAGCTCTGTCTCTGCTCTCCCTCTAGCTCTGTCTCTGCTCTCCCTCTAGCTCTGTCTCTGCTCTCCCTCTAGCTCTGCTCTCCCTCTAGCTCGCTCTCTGCTCTCTCCTCTAGCTCTGTCTCTGCTCTCTCTAGCTCTCTAGCTCTAGTGCTCCTCTAGCTGTCTCTGCTCTCCCTCTAGCTTCTTGCTCCTCACTCTGCTCTCTCCTCCCTCTAGCTCGTCTTGCTCTCCCTCTAGCTCTGTCTCTGCTCTCCCTCTAGCTCTGTCTCTCTGCTCTCCCTCTAGCTCGTCTGCTCTCCCTCTAGCTGTCTCTGCTCTCCCTCTAGCTCTGCTCTCTCTGTCTCTCCCTCTAGCCTTCTGCTCTCCTCTAGCTCTGCCTCCCTCTAGCTGTCTTGCTCCTCTAGCTCTCGCTCTCCCTCTAGCTCTCTGTCTCCTCTGCTCTCTCTCCCTCTAGCTCTGTCTCTGCTCTCCCTCTAGCTCTGTCTCCCTGCTTCTCCCCTCTCTAGCTCTGTCTCTGCTCTCCCTCTAGCTCTGCTCTCTGCTCTCCCTCTAGCTCTGTCTCTCTGCTCCTCTGCTCGTCTCTATCCCTGCTGTCTCTGCTCTCCCTCTAGCTCTGTCTCTGCTCTCCCTCTAGCTCTGTCTCTGCTCTCCCTCTAGCTCTGTCTCTGCTTCCTCTAGCTGTCTCTGCTCTCCTGTCTCTGCTCTCCCTCTATGTCTCTGTCTCTGCTCTCTCCCTCTAGCTCTTGTCTCTCTCCCCTCTGTCTTCTCCCCTCTAAGCTCTGTCTCTGCTCCTCCCTCTCTCTGCTTCTCTGCTCTCCCTCTAGCTCTGTCTGCTCTCCCTCTAGCTATGCTCTCTGCTCTCCTCTGCTCTAGCTATGTCTCTGCTCTCCGCTCTAGTCTCGCTCTCTGCTCTCCCTCTCACATTCTGCTCTCTCTAGCTCTCTGCTCTTCCCTCTAGCTCGCTCTCTGCTCTCTCCCTCCTAGCTCGCTCTCTGCTCTCCCCTAGCTCTGTCTCTGCTCTCTCTCTAGCTCTGTCTCTGCTTCTCCTTAGCTCTCTCTGCTCTCCTCTAGCTATGTCTCTGCTCTCCCTCTAGCTCTGCTCTCCTTACTAGTCTCTGCTCTCCTTAGCGTCTCTGCTCTCCCTCTAGTCGTCTCTCTCTCCCCCTAGTCTCTCTCTGCTTCCCTCTACTATGTCTCTGCTCTCCCTCTAGTCTCTCTGCTTCCTGTATATGTCCTCTGACTCCTCTATCAGCTCTCTGCTCTCTAGCTCGCTCTGCTTCTTTCTGCTTTAGCGTTTCGCTCTCCTAGCGTCTCTTCAGCTTTCCTCTCTAGCTGCTGCTCCTCGCTTTCCTTTTAGCTTCCCTAGACTCTCCTAGACTCTTTTTAGTCTCATTCTAGCTTCTCTAGTTTAGCTCTCTTGCTCTCTTTACTGCTCTTACCTGCTTATTCCTTTCTCAATTGTCATTTAGCAGTCTCTTACTCTCCTGTGTTGTGGGTAATTTATTTGTATTTGGATCGCCTCAGATATGATACAAACCCGTTTGTACAGTCTGTTACTGTTCCTCATGCTGATGTTCGCTTGTGTTAATGCACCTGGCCAGCTCTTAATAGCTCACTTGTGCATTGTAGAAGCCTTTACAGCCCCCCTGAAAATAATCTGAATAACATAATAATCCTGGTTTCCATTGACACATCTGAAATCGGGCTTCCGGATGGGACTTAAATAAATGCAGATGATCACCAATCAGAACAAACGTTCTACCACAGCGACCATGTTATTTTGGAGAAACCTATTTAGACATATAAAGCTTGTATGTGAAAACTATTTCTAAACTGACTTCAGTTTTTTACCAATGCTGGCACATGCACAGATCAAATAACCCACTGGACTGCCAATTTAAGCTGTTTACATGTCCTAATAATTTGAAAGATTGCTCAGAAAACCAGGTGTTGTAATCGGCGTATGCTTACTTCGATTTTGACCTTACGCCGATTAAGATAAGCAGAGTAAAGGGTGGCAAGTAGCCTAGTGGTTAACCGAAAGGTTGCTAGTTCAAATCCCAGAGCCAACTAGGTGAATAATCTGTCGATGCCCTTGAGCAAGGCACTTAACCCTAATTGCTCCTGTAAGTCGCTCTGGATAAAATCTAAATGACTAAAATGTAAATGTGCATGACTATTTCCGTACTCGGCCTACTGCCATAATCAGTTTAATATCGAATTATTAGTGTGCATGTAAACGTACTCACTGACTGTATCAGAACACCATTAGTGGTCATGATGTGCTATAGAAGGACCATTACACATGTAGTCTCATTACCAGCTCTGTGATAGCTTCCCAAATGGCACCCTATTCTCTTTATAGGGCACTTCTTTTGACCAGGGCCCATAGTGCCCTATATAGGGAATAGGGTGCCATTTGGGATACCCCCTGTATTTTTTTTTACACAACATCTAGGCCAGTGGTTCCCAACCTTTTTCGGTTACTGTACCACCAAGTACATTCTGCTCTGCCTGGAGTACTCCTGAAGTACCCCATCATGTGCATTTTACCAGTAAGCCTATGGTCTCATGATACTTCTCAAGTTCACCCTGTGGGTAGGCCTAGTCCTAGTACTCCTGGTTGGGAAACACTGATCTAAGCCACTAATAGGTGACAAACAAACTAGGCCTACACCAGATCAGAGCATCCTTCCTGCCAGAGGGATGGCATCTCTATAAGCTTGGCGACAACAAGGCTAGGACACTGGCAGTAGGGGACATATTTTAATTTAATCCCTGCTTACTATTGACTCTTTTGAACCAATGCTGCTCCTCCCTGTGTGATAACGTCTATGTTATCTACATCAATGTGCAGTCAGTTTGTGTACGTGTCGTTATGTGTTCACAGTTCACATGAGTGTGTTTGACTGTGTTTTGCGGTGATGCCCACAGTGTATGAGTTCTCTTGTGATAACAGGTAGTGATTTGATAACTTGGCTGTGGCATCTTAAAACATGGCAAAGTCAAGGTGTGTGTGTGTTTTTGAGCGAGGTAGGGTGACTCCCACTCCGTTCCTTTGAAATGTGTAAGCCACAAGGTCCTGATAAGAACAGGGTTTGTACAGTCATGGAAATCCTGGAAAAGTCACGTAAGGTTTTCCAGGCCTGGAGAAGTTTTGGAAAATGATAAAATCCGAAAAGTCATGGAAATTAATGTAATAATTTCTGTTGTCATTTATTTAGGCACAGTTTTTATTCCACTTTAGCGCGGCTGAGACAGTCAGACATTGCAGCAGCTGGTAGGCTTAGCCTATAAAATATAATAGCGAACCGACTAACTAGGTAGCCAGTTAAAAATGTACAGTATCTTGTCACCTGGCTAGTTATCTCTCTAGTTAACTGTTTAGCTAGTATTAGCATGTATTCATGTTTTCGTCATGTCCCCAAAAACGTTCCACCAACACTCGTGAATAAGGCCATACAAAGTTGATTTACTTTTTTGAACAATTCATATAATTCATTGAAATTATTATTTTTGACCAAATTAACGATTCATTTTCCCATTGTATTAGTTGGTATTCTGTTCAATCGTGTTGAATCGAATCATATGAATCAAAATAATAATTTGTGAATCGTGAACCTCAATTTTAGGAAAAAAATTTGATGTTGCCTTTCTTTTGGATTAAGTGGCTTCAAAACTTGCTTTGTACATACCCAAATCAACTGGAAGTATGTATCTAATGTATGTGACATTGCAACTCAATAGATGCTAGTCAGCCTGCAAAGTAAACACTTAGTTAAGATAAATATGACTAAACTAGAAAAGGTACATTTCCTGAAGAAAATGTGTGGCCCTGCTTCAGATGAATAAAAAGATTTGTAACCTACCATAGCCATTTAATATTTGATATATTGAATGAAGACATAAAACATATTTGGTTGTAATGTTGCAATGTTTTACATCAAGGGTGGTCAGCCATCCTCCAAGAGAGCTAATGGGTGTGCAGGCTTTTATTCCTGTCTCCCTCAAACAAACCACATTTTAAAAATGAGCGGCTCAACCAGACCTTGATAAACTAGCTCTGATGTGTTTGAGCAGGGTTGGATCAAAAGCCTGCACTCCCAGTAGCTCTCCAGACTGAGGATTGACCATGGGTTTTATACAGTAGCCTAACCGGTACTTTGTGGGAGAGGAGATTTTACATGGGATCAGAGAGCAGCCTTCAAGTTTCAGTACCACATTACGTTTACTTTTTTATACATACATAGAGACACCGGCAATTGTTGGTCATAGAAATTTGGTTAAAACCAGTTTAGGGGACTTTCTTGGTTCTGCTACCGGTTCCGACTGACATTTTTTTGCTTATAAATCGACCTGTGGACACTGTAAATTGAAATGGCTTGCATTGAGCAATAGCACTGTGATGTAGGATGTGAAATCTGAAACCACTTGAAGCTGGGATATCCCTCCTACCATTTCATTCGCTCTTCAGACTGTCCAACTCCTGGTTGAACCCTACGTCACAGCCACTGCCTGCAGTCATTACATCATAGTGCAGCAGGAGAGAGTGGTTGCATCACTATAGTACATTCAGAGATTGAGTTATAGCCATTCATCTAAAATAATTCATAGATTTTAAACAATAAACACTTTCTGTTTGTCATAGATGTAGAAGATTAATATAAAATGAAAGGCAAGTTCCTAACCAGTTCAGGAGGCAGATGTTTTGACCTTTAGAAAATATGCACATTTTCTGTAACACTAAACATACAAATATTTATTTTACAATCTTGTAGTTAGTGGCTTCATAATTTGATTATTATATACTTAGAAAGCATATGTCATTTCAAGCCTTATTCATACAGTTTTGTTGAATAGGAAATATTTCATTTTCATATCATATTTGTCCTCAAAAGTGACTACACCTCAGCAATTTACAACTATTTTTACCAGAAAGGTGAGATTTTAACCTTTCTTGGAGTATGCAGCATTATTAGTTATTTTTTACGGTCCTCTCATGATAAATAAATACTTTCAGGGGATTACGTGGATTACATGTAGTTACATTTAAAAGTTAAGTCATGGACAAGTCATGAAATTCCATCTGTCAAAATGTGTATGAACTCTGTAAGAAATAGTAGACATGGAGACTGAACACTCCTTAAGGGCACCAGCTAATGTCAGCCCAATGCCATAGAAACAGAAGGTTATAAACACAAAATACAACACAGGGTGTTTCCATTCCAGTCTAGCTGCAGACATGGCCTTCTAGTTCTATGATGAGGGTCATAGTCTTTGGCTGGGATGGCTGAGACCAATCTCAATGTTAGAGAGAAAGTTGTCAGAAGGTAACGAGATTGAAAGTTGAGAAAGTAATCAAAAAAAGACGACACTGTGGCCCAGGTCCAATCAGCTGGGTGACTCGGGAGAGACTGGGAGGAGGGATGGAGAGAATGGAAGGGAGGGATGGAGGGATAGAAGATGTGGAGATGGTGTGCTGTAAGGATACACTCTATGTTGGGATTTAGGCTAATTGTTTTTCTCTGACTATTGACTAATGAGCAGCTCTCTCAAATTGAATTTGTGTGGAATCCATAAAATAGTCACAACAGCAAACACCAGTCCCTTGTTTGCACTGTGTGTGTGTGTGTGTGTGTCTGCCCTTGTCTGCATACCATTGAGAGAGTTGGGAGGTGAGCGAGAATGCGTAGGCTAATTTAACTTTTTTCTGTTGACGAGAGAGCTGATCACTGAAGCCTGTGAAAGAAACTAAAGTGAGAGAGTAGGAGAGCAAGAGTGCTTGGACGGAGGAGAGGACGAAGGAGAGTCTAGCAGGACTGGCATGGAGGGGAGGGGGCTGGCCCGGCCCAGTGAAAGATGTGGTGTCTGTAAGTGTCTTGTCCAGAAGGATGACTGTTTGAAGCCGTAGAGGAGGGTTGTGATGGTCAGTGTGTGTTCTGTGACCTCTGACCCCCATGTTCTGGGTAGTTGCTAATTGGCTCCAGATGTTGGAGCGTTGGACAGCCATACTGGCTAATGTCTGTTAGTCAAATGCATGTGGGATGTACAGTTGAAGTCGGAAGTTTTCATACACCTTAGCCAAATACATTTAAACTCAGTTTTTCACAATTCCTGACATTTAATCCTAGTAAATATTCCCTGTCTTAGGTCAGTTAGGTTCACCACTTTATTTTAAGAATGTGAAATGTCAGAATAATAGTAGAGAGAATTATTTATTTCAGCTTTTATTTCCTTCATCACATTCCCAGTGGGTCAGAAGTTTACATACACTCAGTTAGTATTTGGTAGCATTGCCTTTCAATTGTTTAACGTGGGTCAAATGTTTCGGGTAGCCTTCCACAAGCTTCCCACAATAAGTTGGGTGAATTTTGGCCCATTCCTCCTGACAGAGCTGGTGTAACTGAGTCAGGTTTGTAGGCCCCCTTGCTCGCACACGCCTTTTCAGTTCTGCCCACACATTTTCTTTAGGATTGAGGTCGGGGCTTTGTAATGGCCACTCCAATACCTTGACTTTGTTGTCCTTAAGCCATTTTGCCACAACTTTGGAAGTATGCTTGGGGTCATTGTTCATTTGGAAGACCCATTTGTGACCAAGCTTTAACTTCCTGAATGATGTCTTGAGATGTTGCTTCAATATATCCACATAATTTTCCTTCCTCATGATGCCATCTATTTTGTGAAGTGCACCAGTCCCTCCTGCAGCAAAGCACCCCCACAGCATGATGCTGCAACCCCCGTGCTTCACGGTTGGGATGGTGTTCTTCGGCTTGCAAGCACCCCCTTTTTCCTCCAAACATAACGATGGTCATTATTGCCAAACAGTTCTATTTTTGTTTCATCAGACCAGAGGACATTTCTCCAAAAATTACGATCTTTGTCCCCATGTGCAGTTGCAAACCGTAGTCTGGCTTTTTTTATGGCGGTTTTGGAGCAGTGGCTTCTTCCTTGCTGAGCGGCCTTTCAGGTTATGTCGATTATAGGACTCGTTTTACTGTGGATATAGATACTTTTGTACCTGTTTCCTCCAGCATCTTCATAAGGTCCTTTGCTGTTGTTCTGGGATTGATTTGCACTTTCCGCACCAAAGTACGTTCATTTCTAGGAGACAGAACGCGTCTCCTTCCTGAGCGGTATGACGTCTGCGTGGTCCCATGGTGTTTATACTTGCATACTATTGTTTGTACAGATGAACATGGTACCTTCAGGCGTTTGGAAATTTCTCCCAAGGATGAACCAGACTTGTGGAGGTCTACAATTTTTTTCCTGAGGTCTTGGCTGATTTATTTTGATTTTCACATGATGTCAAGCAAAGCGGCACTGAGTTTGAAGGTAGGCCTTGAAATACATCCACAGGTACACCTCCAATTGACTCAAATTATGTCAATTAGCCTATCAGAAGCTTCTAAAGCCATGACATCATCATTTTCTGGAATTTTCCAATCTGTTTAAAGGCAAAGTCAACTTAGTGTATGTAAACTTCTGACCCACAGGAATTGTGATACTGTGAATTATAAGTGAAAATAAACTGTATGTAAACAATTGTTGGAAAAATTACTTGTGTCATGCAGAAATGTAGATGTCCTAACCGACTAGCCAAAACTATAGTTTGTTAACAAGAAATATGTGGAGTGGTTGAAAAACAAGTTTTAATGACTCCAACCTAAGTGTATGTAAACTTCCGACTTCAACTGTATGTTACAGCACTTTGACTTATCATTTGCTGTAAACCAGGACTAAAATAATTGGTCTATGGCATAATAAAGATGTATTTGATTGAATGTTTGGAACATAATAATGTATCTCATTTGTGGCTTATCTTGGCTGTGAAGTATCTTAATGGATTATTAGGCCTACCATATGCGTGCTGATATCTTGAGAAATGCATCCTTAGGAAGTGAGCAACGTTAATTTTTTTATTAAATTTTTTTGGGGGGGGTAGATCAGCTTATATTGTTGGGTAAATATATACACTACCAGTCAAAAGTTTGGACACACCTACTCATTCAAGGCTTTTTCTTAATTTTTTTACTATTTTCTACATTGTAGAATAATACTGAAGACATCATAACTATGAAATAACACATATGGAATCATGTAGTATCCAAAGAAGTGTTAAACAAATCAAAATATGCTGCAAATTGCTGCAAAGAAGCCACTACTTAAGGACACCAATAATAAGAAGAGACCTGCTTGGGCCAAGAAACATGAGCAATGGACATTAGACTGGTGGAAATGTGTCCTTTGGTCTGGAGTCCAAATTGGAGATTTTTGGTTCCAACCGTCGTGTCTTTGTGAGACGCGGTGTGGGTGAACGGATGATCTCTGCATGTGTATTTCCCACCGTAAAGCATGGAGGAGGAGGTGTTATGGTGTGTGGGTGCTTTAACCAGCATGGCTACCACAGCATTCTGCAGCGATACGCCATCCCATCTGGTTTGGGCTTATTGGGACTATCATTTGTTTTTCAACAGGACAATGACCCAACACACCTCCAGGCTGTGTAAGGGGTATTTTACCAAGAAGGAGAGTGATGGAGTGTTGCATCAGATGACCTTGCCTCCACAATCCCCTGACCTCAACCCAATTGGGATGGTTTGGGATGAGTTGGACCGCAGAGTGAAGGAAAAGCAGCCAACAAGTGCTCAGCATATGTGGGAACTCCATCAAGACTGTTGGAAAAGCATTCCACGTGAAGCTGGTTGAGAGAATGCCAAGAGTTTGCAAAGCTGTCAAGGCAAAGGGTGGCTATTTGAAGAATCTAAAATATATTTAGATTTTTTAAACACTTTTTTGGTTACTACATGATTACATATGTGTCATTTCATAGTTTTGATGTCTTCACTATTATTCTACAATGTAGAAAATAGTAAAATAAAGAAATACCCTTGAATGAGTAGGTGTGTCCAAACTTTTGACTGGTAGTGTATATATACACTACCAGTCAAAAATATGTGAGATGCTGCCATCACCAGGACATTAATTGGTGTAGCCTGACACCTTGTGGCAAAAATTTACAAGTGCAATTGTATTGTGATTCTGCAATAAACCTGTCTAAAAATCTGAAATCCCCTAATCTCAGAATATCAATCCCTGCCTTTAGAAAGTTTCAGATGATCCCTAACTTGATACCAGAGGAATTAGTGCGCTAATCTACATATACATGTTCTAGATTGATCCAGTGTGATGTGTAACAGTCAGTGTTTTAATGAAGTGATCTTGTAGAGTGATTGTGATCTATCTGTAGCCTATATTCCCCTCTGTCCTCCTGTGATCAATTATTAATAATGACCTCTGTAGAGATAATCCTGCCTGATCCTAATTTATCCTTTCATCTCTCCCCCACCCCTTTTCTTCCCTTCTATCTCCCCGTCTCCCTCATTGTCCCTCTCTTTTCTCCTGTTCAATCTCCCCATTTGTTTCTCCTCCTTTCCCTCATTCTCTCGTCCTCCCTCCGCCCCCCCCCCCCCCTCTGTACAGAATATCAAACGACTGATTCCTGATGAGGTAGGTTGTTTGTGATCCAACATCATCTCAGTGATCTGATCAGTGTCTTGGTTGCATCTCATCTCACCTTACCCTGTAGCCCACCACTAACCCCCTGCCCCTCCATTCATCCATACCAGCCTGATTGTTACACTAACACCCCATAATAACACAGCCATGTAGTTGTCTGTACTACTCACGCTGGTTGGTTCAACACATGTTGGACGGCGCATGTGTTACCTACCTGTCTGCCTCCCTGGCTCCCCCCTTGCCAGCTACCTCTGTGTCCTGTGAAAACCTAGCCTGTCCCTAACCCTAATGGGCCATCACCATGCTTCACACAGCTGCTGTGTCATTGTGCAGCTTACTTGCCAGTGCTCTGGTGTCCCTGCACTGTCATCTTGACACTGTCTGCAGCTATACAGGCAACAATCAATGCTACACACTAGAATGAGATGAAGGAGGATTGGACAGACCTTGTCATAACTCTTTGGAGGCAACTGGGATGTTCATGATATCACTCTGATCCTGCTTCATCTTACTCACATATGAATTGAGTACTCTGTCAGCTCCAGCCAAGGTGTTTCAGAGTGATATTTAGTCATCGATGATGCCTGAATGTCCACTGGAGTCTAATGCCCAATCCCAAATCAACCCTGACCTTGCCCCGACCTATCCAATCCAAGGGGTCAGGTTGATCTGGAATAACCCTAATATCTCCCTGTGTGACCTCTGACCCCTGGCATTTGACCCCCTGCAGTTGGAGCGCTTCACCAGCATGAGGAAGAAGGACAAGGAGAAGCCTCATGCGCCTGCTCAGCGCTACTCCAACGCTGCCCACTACGAGGTGCCTGCCCAGGGGACCATGCTGCACGACCACCCTGATGAATACGTCCTGGAACTCTTCGAACAGATGCTGGTGAGAGAAAGGGTCAAACAAAGAGATACTGTCTTTGTAGAGGCTGGTGGGAGAGAGGGTTAAATACAGAGATACTGACTTTGTAGAGGCTGGTGGGAGAGAGGGTTAAATACAGAGATACTGACTTTGTAGATGCTGGTGGGAGAGAGGGTTAAATACAGAGATACTGACTTTGTAGATGCTGGTGGGAGAGAGAAAGGATAAGGATAAGGATGTGTGGACTGAGTGTGTGTGTGAACTGTAGGCTCTTTTGGGATGCTCACTCTACGATCTCTCTCTCTCCCCCTCCCCAGGTGGATATGAACTTGAATGACGAGAAGCAGCGGCCTCTGCGGGCAAAAGACATCTCCATCAAACGAGAGATGGTTTCTCAATACCTCCACACATCTAAAGCTGTGAGTAACAAAGGTTGTGTTACTGGGATAACAGTAGACTTAGGACAGCGGTAACTTGTCCTCTATATATGCTCAATATACTAATACCGTGTGTGTGTGATAGGGTCAGAGCCAGAAGGAATGCTCCAAGTCAGCCATAATGTACATCCAGGAGCTGAGGACGGAGCCCAGAGACGCACAGCTCCTGGGCTGTCTGGAGTCACTCCGGGTCTCCCTCAACAACAACCCTGTCAGCTGGGTGCAGAACTTTGGAGACGAGGGCCTGGCTCTGCTGCTCAACATCATGAAGAAGATCCAGGAGGAGAAGGACGAGTACCCGTAAGATATCAACACCATCTTACCCCTTGAACCCATTACCTTCTGCAATAGATTTTCATTCTGCAATAGATTTGCAAGTCACCTGTTTTGTATGTAAACCGTTGCCCATGCAGTAACACACCTTTCTCTCTCTCTTCTCTCCTCCTGTCATATAGGAATATGGGAGTGAAGTGTCAACATGAGATTGTGCGCTGTCTCAAAGCCTTCATGAACAACAAATATGGTCTGAAGGCCATGTTGACGTCTCCCGAGGGTATCCCTCTGCTGGTCCGAGCCATCAACCCCAGAGTTCCTCACATGATGGTGGACGTGGTCAAACTGCTCTCGGCCATCTGCATCCTGGAACAACCTGACAACCTGTAAGTGTGTGTGTGTGGGAGAGTGAGACTGTGTGTGTGTGTGTGTGTGTGTGTGTGGGAGAGGGAGACTGTATGTGTGTATACAAAACATTAGGAACACCTGCTCTTTCCATGATATCGACTGACCAGGTAAATCCAGGTGAAAGCTATGATCCCTTATTGATGTCACTTGTTAAATCCACTTCAATCAGTGTAGATGAAGGGGAGGAGACAGGTTAAAGAAGGATTTTTAAGCCTTGAGACAATTGAGACATGGATTGTGTATGTGTGCCATTCAGAGGGTGAATGGACAAGACAAAATATTGAAGTGCCTTTGAACGGGGTATGGTAGTAGGTGCCAGGCGCACCGGTTTGAGTGTGTCAGGAACTGCAACGTTTTTCACGCTCAACAGTTTCCTGTGTGTATCAAGAATGGTCCACCACTCAAAGGACATCCAGCCAACTTGACACAACTGTGGGAAGTATTGGAGTCAACATGGGCCAGCATCCCTGTGGAACGCTTTCGACAACTTGTAGAGTCCATGCCCCGACGAATTGAGGCTGTTCTGAGGGCAAAAGGCGGGGTGAAACTCAATATTAGGAAAGTGTTATTAATGTTTGGTGTAATCAGTGTGTGTGTGTGTGTGTAAGTTTCTGTGTATTAATGTGTGTAACTCTCTCTCTAGTCATGAGCGTGTTCTGGAGGCCATCACTGAGGAGGCAGAGAAGCAGGATATTGAGCGGTTTCAGCCACTTCTCTCCGGTATGAACAAGCCCAACATCGCCCTGAAGAATGGCTGTATGCAACTCATCAACGCTCTCATCAGTCGAGGAGAAGAGCTGGACTACAGGATCCACATCCGCTCAGAACTACTGAGACTGGGCCTACGAGACCTGCTGACTGTGAGTCTCACACACACACACACTAACTCTCAAACTTATTCTGAACCATTGGAAACTGATGTTTATCTTGAAGTTCAGGGCTGTGGTGAGTTGTATTGACCCCCCTTTACTTCTCCCCTGTAGGAGATTCGGACCATTGAGAATGAGGAGCTGAGGGTGCAGCTCAGTGTTTTTGACGAGCAGGCTGAGGATGACTCTGAAGAACTCCAGGCCCGCCTCAATGACGTGCGCATCGAGATGGAATATCCTTCCGCTTCAGAGAGGCTCAAATAGTCCCTCTACATAGGGCACCTTGTTCAGATGTCACAGTGATAGGAGTTTATAGTATGGCTGTGTCAAATAGCACCCTATTCCCTGTATGTTCCTTCTGTTTATCAGGGCCTGTAGGGTAGTGCACTATATAACGAATAAGGCACCCTATTACACAGTAAGTTGAGGCCCCGACTGAGACTCTTCTTTTTAAACGTCACTGTCCACCAGGTGGCTCCAAGGTGCCATAATAATTTCTCACACAAAAACAAGGATTTCCACAGTGCTTTTATTTTACCTTAATTGATTTGGTTCTGATACATTTGATCACAGTTATAAATTGATAAGGAACGGACTAAAGTTTTATATCAAACTGTTAAACAGCTTTGAGCTCTTTGGCTTTTACATTTGTATATTGCTTCATATACATTGACCACTGCATATACATTGACTACTCCTGCATATTTAAGGAGGATCATTAGCATTGTCACTAAACAGAATAATATATATTTGTAGTAACAGCAGAATTTTTCAGTGTTGATGCTGTGAATTATTACTTTTTCTTCCTATTTCCAGCCACAGGGGGTCTGTCTCTTCTACCTCATGTTTCATCATAGAGATGAATACTTGTCTTCTCTCCTGACTCTTTCTCTCCTGTCTCTTTCTCTCATGACTCTTTCTCTCCTGACTCCTTCTCTCATTGATATCATTGAATGACATACCAGAAAAAAAGTTAGCAAAGTTTTTGTACTAGGGTAAATTGTGTTCCATTGGCCCCTCTGACCCCTCATGTGGTTGTAGTCCTTAACCGTGCGGTCCTACTGACGTGATGGAGGTGTTCCAGATCGTGATGAACACGGTCAAAGACTCCAAGGCTGAAACACACTTCCTGTCTCTGATGCAGCACCTGCTGCTGATCCGCAATGACTACATGGTCAGGTAAGGGAATGGACTTCAACACACACATACACTGTAACCGAAAAGGTCATTGGTTGGAACCAGGAGCCGACAATGTGAAAGATGTTATGTTGCCCTTGACCAAAGCACTTCTTCCTAACTGATCCAGGGTAGCTGGAAACATGGCTAGCCCTAACTGTGACCACACTCTCCGATTTCCACTCACTCAGGTACACACACCTATAACCTTTACTCTGACCCTGGCCTTCTGTCTCTGCTCTACCACCATGTGACTCAGAATAGATGTTGTTGTGATGACCCTCCCTACACCTCACCCTCCACCCTCCACTCCACTCACCCTCCACCCTCCCCTCCCCTCACCCTCCACTCCACTCACCCTCCACCCTCCCCTCACCCTCCACTCCACTCACCCTCCACCCTCCCCTCCCCTCACCCTCCATCCCCCTCACCCTCCCTACACCTCACACTCCACTCACCCTCCACCCTCCCCTCACACTCAGCCCCCTCACACTCATTCCCCTCACCCTCCACTCCACTCACCCTCCACCCTCCCCTCCCCTCACCCTCCATCCCTCTCACACTCAGCCCCCTCACACTCATCCCCCTCACCCTCCACTCCCCTCACCCTCCACCGCCCCTCACCCTCCACCGCCCCTCACCCTCCACTGCTCCTCACCCTGCTCCTCACCCTCCACCTCCCCTCCACCTCCCCTCACCCTCCATATCCCTCACCCTCCATATCCCTCACCCTCCACCTCCCCTCACCCTCCACCTCCCCTCACCCTCCACTCCACTCCCCTCACCCTCCACCTCCCCTCACCCTAGAATGTCAAACAGTGACCTCCCCTCACCCTCCAGTCCACTCCCCTCACCCTCCACCCCCCTCACCCTCACCCCTCACCCTCCACCTCCCCTTCACCCTCCACCTCCCCTCACCCTCCACCGCCCCTCACCCTCCACCGCCCCTCACCCTCCACCTCCCCTCACCCTCCATATCCCTCACCCTCCACCTCCCCTCACCCTCCACTCCCCTCACCCTCCACTCCCCCCTCACCCTAGATTGTCAAACAGTGACTGACTCTGACACACGGACAGATAGTTAAACATACAACATGAACAGTCCATTTGTGAAATATTAACTTAATTGGTCTTCAGTCTAAGACGCATTTTCATGAAAATATAGCACACTAATCACAAGCTTATCAGCAAGTTTGTGATTTTTAACCTTTAAATAAACGGACACTAGATGTCTCTCTCCCTCCACGGATGAATCTGAGTTTGAAAAAATAGTGTCAAATGAAGGAGAGACTGGAGGAAGGGAGGGGGTAGAGTGCAAGAGTTGGGGAATAAATAAAGTATTGTGTTTTTGACTGAAGGAGTGTCACAGAATCAGACACCTCCTAAATTGAGTGTGTGTGAATCCAACTATATACACACACACACACACACACACATATATACTCTGACACTCCTATACCCTGAGATGAAGACTAAGTGCCACTCATATTGTCACAGTTTCATATGGACACCTGCACTCCCATACACTCACAGATACACTTGAATGCATGTATGCACACACGGGCCCAGACATTCTCCCACACATTTGGAATCTGCATATACCCATATCCTCTCTTTCTATTCCATCCATCTCCCAGATTTACGTTCGATTCACTTTCTCTCTCTCCCTCTTTCTTGCTCTCAAAGTTTAACTTAATGCAACTTTTCTCTGTTCATTGTCTTCAACACACGCACACACACACACACACACACACACACACACACAATTACATAGATCCTCTCTCTGTCTTCCAGGCCCCAGTACTACAAGCTGATAGATGAATGTATAGCTCAGATCGTGTTGCACAGGAACGGAGCCGACCCTGACTTCAAGTGCCGCAATCTCAGCCTGGACGTTGAGGGGTTAATTGGTAAGAACCATACACACCATAGAATACACACATGGAACAGTTACCCAACAAGCCTGCTGTTCTATAACCACCACAAGGGTGAACCAGAGATGGACTGTATTTAGCTCCAGAGGTGGGGTTGTATCATTGTAGTGATTGTAACCATAGTGTAGTCTTACAACTTGGTGCATAGAGAACATGGAACCAGCCAACAGAACAACAGCCCAAAAAGCAGGAGAACCGGTGTGATTGTTGTCTCCCTCTATTGTTCAGTCCCCAGACCAGACCAAAGGCGCTTGTTGTCTCAGCTCACAGCTGCAGTCTACAATAGCTCTCTCTTTCGTTCTCTCGCTCTCTCTCTGCAGGAGGCTGATTGCACTGCTTCTAAATGCGTACACACACGCGTGCACGCTCTGGCCTCCTTTAATGCTGCCATTATTATCGGTGGAAAGCAGCCCAATCCTGCCCTGCATGCATTATTTAGGGGTTTTCTTTGAACTCTGGAAATTGTGCACACAGGTTTTTTTCTCTTCTTCTCTTTCTGTTAGAGGCTTGTCCCATTTAGCCCTGCTCTGATGACACGAACAACAACACAACTGCTGCCTCGCGTCACTGGTGTTTCTCGTCTTCTCTCCCATTGACTATTTTCTATCCATCCTTCTGTCTCCTCGCCTCTCTTACTTTTCTCACCTTTCTCTTCTTTTCTTTACCTGTTGTCTCAACTTAATCTTTCTCTTCTGCTGTTTCTGGATTAGTCTCTCTCTCTCTCTCTCTCTCTCTCTGTCTCTCTTACTCACACTCTCTCTCTCTCTCTCTCTGTCTCTCTCTCTGTGTGTCTCTCTTACTCACTCTCTCTCTGTCTCTCTCTCTCTGTCTCTCTGTCTCTCTCTCTGTGTCTCTCTCTCTGTCTCTCTCTCTCTGTCTCTCTGTCTCTGTGTCTGTCTCTCTCTCTGTCTCTCTCTCTCTCTCTCTATCTCTCTCTCTGTCTCTCTGTCTCTCTTACTCACTCTCTCTCTCTCTCTCTGGTCTCTCTCTCTGTCTCTCTCTCTGTCTCTCTCTCTCTCATCCTCTCTCTCTCTCTCTCGCTCTCTCTCTCTCTCTGTGTGTCTCTCTTACTCACTCTCTCTCTGTCTCTCTCTCTCTGTCTCTCTGTCTCTCTCTCTGTGTCTCTCTCTCTGTCTCTGTCTCTCTGTCTCTGGTGTCTCTCTCTTCTCTGTCTCTCTGTCTTCTCTCTCTCTCTGTCTCTCTTACTCACTCTCTCTCTCTCTCTCTCTCTCTCTCTCTCTCTCTCTCTCTCTCTCTCTCTGTCTCTCTTACTCACTCTCTCTCTCTCTCTCTCTCTCTCTCTCTCTCTCTCTCTCTCTCTTCTCTCTCTCTCTCTCTCTCTCTCTCTCTCTCTCTCTCTCTCTCTCTCTCTCTCTCTCTCTCTCTCTCTCTCTCTCTGTTCTTTAGACGCCAGACTGATAGGTCTACAATCCTCTCTCTGGCTCTATCTCTGTCTCTACATCTCTCTCCTCTCTCTCTCCTCCTCTCTCGGCTTCTATCTCGTCTCTGCTCCCGCTGATCTCTCGTCCTCTCTCTCTCTGACTAGCTGCCTCTCCTGTGGTAGGGGGAGAGCGCACAGACGGAGGAAGACAAGCGATGAGACGTGATAGTCGACTGGCACTCGAAGCGTCTGAACAGCTCAATGAGGGGAGAAGCGAGAAGCGAGGAAGAGAGAAGACAGAGGGCGAAGAGAGAGAAGGAGGCAGAGAACGCGAGGGAAGAAGAGCAGAAGAGGAGAGAGGAAGCGGGGAAACGAGGAGAAGAAGGAAGAAAGGGAGAAGAGAGAGAAGAAGCGGAAGAGACAGCGCAAGCCAGACGAGGAGAAGAAGAGAAGAAAGAGGGAAGCAGCGAGCAAAGGAGCCGAAAAGAAGATAGGACAGTAGAAGGGCGCAGGGAAGCCCGAGCGAAAGGAAGAATCGCAAGACTATTACAGAATGCCGAAGCGCAAAAGCGCGAAGAGAGCAGCCGAGGGCAGAAGGGCTCATCTATCAAAACAGAAGAAGACAGTTCTCCCCCGAATATAAACCCCCTTCCCCCACTTAAGACTTTATCATTAATCCCTACCATTACTATCTCATCCTCCTTTCCTCTGCTCCATCCTCCTTTCCTCCTGCTCTCATCCCTCCTTTCCTCCTCTCATCCCTCTTCTCCTCCTCTCATCCCTCTCTCCTCCTCTCATCCCTCTTCTCCTCCTCTCATCCCTCTCTCCGTCTCTCCACAGACAACATGGTGGACAAGACCAAGGTGGAATCCAGTCAAGCCAAGGCCATAGACCTTGAGAAGAAGGTGAAACACACACACACAGAGGATTGTAATGAGATTCTCTCCCTGACACAACTAGCAGTCTAAATGAGAAAGAGACGAATGAGAGAATGAGTACACACGGCTGACTGCTTCCTAATGGAGTACACACACACACACACACACACTAGATGAGGGCTAAGTGTTTTGGTTGCGTGTTTTTTTTTTTTTTCCCCATTATGAGTCTGACAGGATAATTGCAAACAGTGAGCTGAAACTATCCCCATCTCAGACACACACACACACACGCTGACATTCTGTCCCATTAAATGAAAACACACGTAAACATACCCATTCTCTGCAAATATGGACAATCACACTCAGTCTCTGCCGCTAACACACGGTCACGCACACACACACACACACGTTGGTTGATATGGTAATTGCTGGCAGGATAAGACTGTCAGAAAGAGGAGGACATCTATTGTCTGCAAGTTAAACACCAAACCAGCTGCGTGTGACTGTGTGTGTGTGACTGTGTGTGTGTGTTCTCTCCAGTGTAGCTGGACACTAAGCTCTTTTTAACCCTGTAATCTCATGTTGCTCAATAACTAGATACTGAGCCCAGATTGCCTTTAACCCTTTATATACTGTTTCTATCGAACTCTTTGTCCTCATGCAGAGTTGACTGTATAATAATAAATAATGAGAATAATTTAGTTTGTGCTTATATTTTTCCTATATAACACATGTGCAAGTGTGTATAACATGTGTGAATTGAAAATGTGTTTTTGCATATCCCAACTCCCCCTGAGACACCCTCGGAGAGTGGGGTCACGGCCAGGATCTGCCGTTATCAACGGCGACCCTGGAGCAATTATGGTTAAGTGCCTTGCTGGATGCAGAGCTGACTGTGTGTGTTCTCTCCTGTAGCTGGATGCAGAGCTGACTGTGTGTGTTCTCTCCTGTAGCTGGATGCAGAGCTGACTGTGTGTGTTCTCTCCTGTAGCTGGATGCAGAGCGGACTGTGTGTGTTCTCTCCTGTAGCTGGATGCAGAGCTGACTGTGTGTGTTCTCTCCTGTAGCTGGATGCAGAGCTGACTGTGTGTGTTCTCTCCTGTAGCTGGATGCAGAGCTGACTGTGTGTGTTCTCTCCTGTAGCTGGATGCAGAGCGGACTGTGTGTGTTCTCTCCTGTAGCTGGATGCAGAGCGGACTGTGTGTGTTCTCTCCTGTAGCTGGATGCAGAGCTGACTGTGTGTGTTCTCTCCTGTAGCTGGATGCAGAGCTGACTGTGTGTGTTCTCTCCTGTAGCTGGATGCAGAGCTGACTGTGTGTGTTCTCTCCTGTAGCTGGATGCAGAGCGGACTGTGTGTGTTCTCTCCTGTAGCTGGATGCAGAGCTGACTGTGTGTGTGTGTGTTCTCTGCTGTAGCTGGATGCAGAGCTGACTGTGTGTGTGTGTGTTCTCTCCTGTAGCTGGATGCAGAGCTGACTGTGTGTGTTCTCTCCTGTAGCTGGATGCAGAGCTGACTGTGTGTGTTCTCTCCTGTAGCTGGATGCAGAGCTGACTGTGTGTGTTCTCTCCTGTAGCTGGATGCAGAGCTGACTGTGTGTGTGTGTTCTCTCCTGTAGCTGGATGCAGAGCTGACTGTGTGTGTTCTCTCCTGTAGCTGGATGCAGAGCTGACTGTGTGTGTGTGTGTTCTCTCCTGTAGCTGGATGCAGAGCTGACTGTGTGTGTTCTCTTCTGTAGCTGGATGCAGAGCTGACTGTGTGTGTGTGTTCTCTGCTGTAGCTGGATGCAGAGTTGACGGCGCGTCATGAGCTGCAGGTAGAGCTGAAGAAGATGGAAGGAGATTATGAACACAGAGTTCAGGAGCTGGCTGCTGAGAAGGAGACTCTGGGCTCTGAGAAACAGGAGAGAGAGGCAGAGAACCAGACTCTACTGGGGCAGATCAACACACTCAATGAGCAGGTACACACACTCACACAGAGAGAACACTTTAGTCATTTAGCAGACACTCTTAACCAGAGCGACTTAGTTAGTGCATTCATCTTAAGATAGCGATGTGAAAACCCAGAGCTCAAAGTTGTATTACTCTACCAATAGGAACAGAGTAGAAAACTCCCCTTGACCAATATGAGTAGAGGGGAAAGTCACGAGCTCCAAGTAGCTCAGAGAAAGTGGTCCACTCAACTGACACAGAGAGAGATGGGAGGAAAAGAGGTGTACCTGTCAGAATCCTGGTGCTAGGCCAGCTGGCCCCTGTACCATCTGAAACACACTCACATTTTATTTGTCACATACGCCGAATACAACAGGTGTAGACCTTACAGGGAAATGCTTACTTACAAGCCCTTAACCAACAATGCAGTTTTAATAAAGAATACCAAAAAAAAATCACACACAAAAAGACAATATAAAATAATACTAAATAAAAGTAACAAATAATTAAAGAGCAGCAGTAAAATAACAGTAGGGAGGCTATATACAGGGGGTACCGGTACAGAGTCAATGTGCGGGGGCACTGGTTAGTCGAGGTAATTGAGGTAATATGTACATGTAGGTAGAGTTATTACTATACATAGATAATAAACAGAGAGTAGCAGCAGCGCGGAAGAGGGGTGGTGGGGGAGGGGGGTGGACGACAATGCAAATAGTCCAGGTAGCCATTTGATTAGATGTTCAGGAGTCTTATGGTTTGGGGCTAGAAGCTGTTTCGAAGCCTCTTGGACCTAGACTTGGCGCTCCGGTACCGCTTTCCGTGCGGTAGCAGAGAGAACAATCTATGACTAGGGTGGCTGAAGTATTTGACCATTTTTAGGGCCTGGATGGCAGGAAGCTTGGCCCCAGTGATGTACTGGGCCGTACACACTACCCTCTGTAGTGCCTTGCGGTCGGAGGCCGAGCAGTTGCCATACCAGGCAGTGATGCAACCAGTCAGGATGCTCTCGATGGTGCAGCTGTAGAACCTTTTGAGGATCTGAGGACCCATGCCAAATCTTTTCAGTCTCCTGAATAGGTTTTGTCATGCCCTCTTCATGACTGTCTTGGTGTGCATGCACCATGATAGTTTGTTGGTGATATGGACACCAAGGAACTTGAAGCTCTCAACCTGCTCCACTACAGCCCCGTCGATGAGAATGGGGGTGTGCTCGGTCCTCTTCTTTTTCCTGTAGTCCACAATCATCTGTGTGTGTGTCCGCTTAAGTATGTGTCTTACAGATCCACACAGACCTTGACAGGTCCCTTCCCCAACAGGCTGAGGCCAGCAGAATCATCTCATGGTCTCTCACACACGTCCAACTGGCTGTCCCCACATCAACACACACATCAAAGACCCTCGTCGACAGATCATTCACTCCCCCCTGCGTTTGACACTCAGCCCCATCAGAGTCTTCATATGTAGAGATCACACACACACACACTCATTAGAAATCCAGAGAAAGCAGTCTTCTCTCATGGTGTATTAGTATATTTATCTTTCAGGCTTAAAATCTCCTCTATTGAAATATCTATTTTCCTCTCCCCATCTCTCTCTCTCTCTCTCTCTCTCTCTCCCTCTCTCTCCCCGTCTCGCTCTCTCTCCCCGTCTCGCTCTCTCTCCCCGTCTCGCTCTCTCTCCCCGTCTCGCTCTCTCTCCCCGTCTCGCTCTCTCTCCCCGTCTCGCTCTCTCTCCCCGGCTCGCTCTCTCTCCCCGTCTCTCGCGCTCTCTCCCCGTCTCTCGCTCTCTCTCCCCATCTCTCGCTCTCTCTCCCCATCTCTCGCTCTCTCTCCCCATCTCTCGCTCTCTGTCCCCATCTCGCTCTCTGTCCCCATCTCGCTCTCTGTCCCCATCTCGCTCTCGCTCTCTGTCCATATCTCTCTCTCCATCTTGCTCTCGCTCCCCCATCTCGCTCTCTCTCTGGCCCCATCTCGCTCTCTCTCTGTCCCCATCTCGCTCTCTCTGTCCCCATCTCGCTCTCTCTCTGTCCCCATCTCGCTCTCTCTCTGTCCCCATCTCGCTCTCTCTCTGTCCCCATCTCGCTCTCTCTCTATCCCCATCTCGCTCTCTCTCTGTCCCATCTCGCTCTCTCTGTCCCCATCTCGCTCTCTCTGTCCCCATCTCGCTCTCTCTCTGTCCCCATCTCGCTCTCTCTCTGTCCCCATCTCGCTCTCTCTCTGTCCCCATCTCGCTCTCTCTCTCTCTCTCTCTGTCCCCATCTCGCTCTCTCTCTCTCTCTCTCTCTCCCCATCTCGCTCTCTCTCTCTCTCTCCATCTCGCTCTCTCTCTCTGTCCCCATCTCGGTCTCCCCATCTCTCTCTCCCCAGATAGAGAAGCTCAATAAGGATCTGGAGGAAGCCAAGACTAGAGTGGTCATCGTCCATGTCCCAGGTGGTCCTGCTGCTCCTCCTGCCCCCCCTCTACCAGGTCAAGCTGGTCTCCCACCTCCCCTCCCTGGACAAGCCGGCATGCCCCCTCCTCCATCCCTACCCGGCCAAGCAGGCCTGCCTCCCCCTCCTCCCCTCCTGGGTATGCCCGGTCCCCCACCACCCCCGCCCTTACCAGGTATGCCTGGTCCTCCACCACCCCCGCCCTTACCAGGTATGCCTGGCCCCCCTCCACCACCACCCCTACCAGGGATGTATGGTCCCCCGCCACCCCCTCCTCTCCCTGGGATGGCCGGTATGCCCCCGCCACCCCCTCCTCTCCCTGGGATGGCCGGTATGCCCCCGCCACCCCCTCCTCTCCCTGGGATGGCCGGTATGCCCCCGCCACCCCCTCCTCTCCCTGGGATGGCCGGTATGCCCCCGCCACCCCCTCCTCCACCTGGCATGGGCATGCCCCCTCCACCTCCTGGTATGGGGGGCTGGGGAGCTCCTGTGCCACCCCCTCTGCCCTTCGGTCTGGCACCCAAGAAGGAGTACAAGCCTGAGGTGCAGCTGAAGAGAGCCAACTGGAGCAAGGTGAGGATGAGAGTGTGTGCATCTGTTAGATGGTGATAACAGGAGTGAAGGCGTGAATGTCAGTCTCTCTTATAAAACTGCACTTAAAGTTGGTGTGTGTGTTCTATCCTTTATTAGTATGCCCAATCATAGGAGTCTGAAATAACAACTGCAAAGCTGTTGACCGTGTGTGTGTGAATACTAAAACTGTAACCCTATGTGAGTGTGTATGACTACGTACGTACAATGGGGAAAAAAAGTATTTAGTCAGCCACCAATTGTGCAAGTTCTCCCACTTAAAAAGATGAGAGGCCTGTAATTTTCATCATAGGTACACGTCAACTATGACAGACAAAATGAGAAAAATGTTCTCTAGAAAATCACATTGTAGGATTTTTAATGAATGTATTTGCAAATTATGGTGGAAAATAAGTATTTGGTCAATAACAAAAGTTTCTCAATACTTTGTTATATACCCTTTGTTGGCAATGACACAGGTCAAACGTTTTCTGTAAGTCTTCACAAGGTTTTCACACACTGTTGCTGGTATTTTGGCCCATTCCTCCATGCAGATCTCCTCTAGAGCAGTGATGTTTTGGGGCTGTCGCTGGGCAACACGGACTTTCAACTCCCTCCAAAGATTTTATATGGGGTTGAGATCTGGAGACTGGCTAGGCCACTCCAGGACCTTAATGCTTCTTACGAAGCCACTCCTTCGTTGCCCGGGCGGTGTGTTTGGGATCATTGTCATGCTGAAAGACCCAGCCACGTTTCATCTTCAATGCCCTTGCTGATGGAAGGAGGTTTTCACTCAAAATCTCACGATACATGGCCCCATTCATTCTTTCCTTTACACGGATCAGTCGTCCTGGTCCCTTTGCAGAAAAACAGCCCCAAAGCATGATGTTTCCACCCCCATGCTTCACAGTAGGTATGGTGTTCTTTGGATGCAACTCAGCATTCTTTGTCCTCCAAACACGACGAGTTGAGTTTTTACCAAAAAGTTATATTTTGGTTTCATCTGACCATATGACATTCTCCCAATCCTCTTCTGGATCATCCAAATGCAATCTAGCAAACTTCAGACGGGCCTGGACATGTACTGGCTTAAGCAGGGGGACACGTCTGGCATTTGAGTCCCTGGCGGCGTAGTGTGTTACTGATGGTAGGCTTTGTTACTTTGGTCCCAGCTCTCTGCAGGTCATTCACTAGGTCCCCCCGTGTGGTTCTGGGATTTTTGATCACCGTTCTTGTGATCCTTTTGACCCCACAGGGTGAGATCTTGCGTGGAGCCCCAGATCGAGGGAGATTATCAGTGGTCTTGTATGTCTTCCATTTCCTAATAATTTCTCCCACAGTTGATTTCTTCAAACCAAGCTGCTTACCTATTGCAGATTCAGTCTTCCCAGCCTGGTGCAGGTCTACAATTTTGTTTCTGGTGTCCTTTAACAGCTCTTTGGTCTTGGCCATAGTGGAGTTTGGAGTGTGACTGTTTGAGGTTGTGGACAGGTGTCTTTTATACTGATAACAAGTTCAAACAGGTGCCATTAATACAGTTAACGAGTGGAGGACAGAGGAGGCACTTAAAGAAGAAGTTACAGGTCTGTGAGAGCCAGAAATCTTGCTTGTTTGTAGGTGACCAAATACTTATTTTCCACCATAATTTGCAAATAAATTCATTAAAAATCCTACAATGTGATTTTCTGGGGAAAAAAATCCTCAATTTGTCTGTCATAGTTGCCGTGTACCTATGATGAAAATTACAGGCCTCTCTCATCTTTTTAAGTGGGAGAACTTGCACAATTGGTGGCTGACTAAATACTTTTTTCCCCCACTGTAAGTGTGTGTGTGCCTCTGTTCTTTCATGAGTGTGTGTGGACTGGTGTGTGTCTGTTCCATGTTCTCCTCCTCTCTCTCATCTGCGATGGTTAAAACATCAAAACGGCCCTCTTTCTCTCTCTAGCCTAAAGCTACTGTTTAATGGCTTCAGTTGAGTTCATCAGCGTTTAGTCTCTCCCTCTCTGTTCTCTTTGTTCGTTCGACGGGTTGGTGAGAGCCCTTTGACAAGGATGTCACAGAAATGGCTTTTTAATAAGGATGCTTCTTTTACTGTGCTGGTGAAAGATAATTAAATAGCTGCTAGAAAGGACGGCATTCTTTTGTACTTTAAATTAACATTTTATTTTTCCAGCCCTTCTGCCCCTGTATCACTTTTTTTTCCCCCCTTATCCCCCTTTTCCCCACCCCCACACCCCCTCCCTGAGGCATCTTGGGTAATGAAAGGGTCATATAGGTGATTTTTTTTTATATGATTATTTTTTTAGGGAGAGTGTGTGTATATATATATATATGTATATATGGGAAGTTACTACCTCTCCTCTGATGCTTCCTCTTTTTTCTCTCTCTCGCATTCTCTCTCTCAGAAGGCAGTTTATTATGAGGTGGTGATGGTTGGAAGAGAGAAAGAAGAAAATGATAAATATAGCTAGAAAAAAGAGAGGATGAGGATAAAGGAGGAGAGGAGGAGGAGGAGGAGGAGAGGGAGGAGGATAAAGGAGGAGAGGAGGAGGAGAGGGAGGAGGATAGAGGAGGATAAAGGAGGAGAGGAGGAGGATAGAGGAGGATAAAGGAGGAGAGGAGGAGGATAAAGGAGGAGAGGAGGAGGACAAAGGAGGATAAAGGAGGAGAGGAGGAGGACAGGAGAGGATAAAGGAGGAGAGGAGGAGGATAATGGAGGAGAGGAGGAGGAGGATAGGAGGAGGAGATGAGGAGGATAAAGGAGGAGAGGAGGAGGATAGCGGAGGATAGGAGGAGGATAGAGGAGGATAAAGGAGGAGAGGAGGAGGAGAGGAGGATAAAGGAGGAGAGGAGGAGGGTAAAGGAGGAGAGGACGAGGATAGAGGAGGATAAAGGAGGAGAGGACAAGGATAAAGGAGGAGAGGAGGAGGATAAAGGAGGAGAGGAGGAGGACAGAGGAGGATAAAGTAGGAGAGGAGGAGGATAGAGGAGGATAGAGGGGGAGAGGGGGAGAGGAGGAGGAGGATAGAGGAGGGAGAGGAGGAGGATAGAGGAGGGAGAGGAGGAGGATAGAGGAGGGAGAGGAGGAGGATAGAGGAGGGAGAGGAGGAGGATAGAGGAGGGAGAGGAGGAGGATAGAGGAGGGAGAGGAGGAGGATAAAGGAGGGAGAGGAGGAGGAGGATAAAGGAGGTGGATAAAGGGAATGGAATCCTCTCTCTGTGTGAAGGAGAATGAGGAGCAGTGAAAATGACTAGTTAGCTCCTCTCCTCCTCTGTGTCTCTCTCTCCATCTTCTCTTTCAGTGCCCCGGCTCTCTCGTTCTTTCTCTGTCCTTCTCTCACTTTATTGCTGGATTTATGGATGAATGTTTTTTTACAAAATTGCACAGTGTTTGAAAGGATTCGTAAGGCATTTATCGCTCTTTCTCTCTCCCTCTCTCTTTCTCTCTGTGTAACAGATTGGATATGAGGATCTGTCTGAAAACAGTTTCTGGACGAAGGCCAAAGAGGATAGCTATGAGAACAATGAGCTCTTCGCCAAACTCACCTTGGCCTTCTCCTCCCAGACCAAGAGTGAGTGAGTCACCCCATGCACGTGTGTGTATGCGGGCATGTGTGTATCGTGGCTCATGTGCACTTGTGTCTCAGTAAAGTTGATTTACTAATGATGATCATGGATTTTTTGATCCTCCTTCATCTCTCTCTCCCTTTCTCCCTCTCTCCATGTCCACCCATCCATCCATCCATCCCACAGCCTCCAAAGGTAAGAACAAACAAATGATGTTGGGTACAAGGGCTGGTGTGTGGGGGTGCGTTCCAAAGTGCTCTACTGCTGCTTCTGTACAAGTGCTGCTGTGTGAGGTCTACTGTGTGAGGTCTACTGTGTGTGTTGTTCTGGCCTTGTGTTGTCTCATTCTGAGAGACAGAGTACTCACTAGGTTAGATGGATTGGGATTTGGAGATTAGAGCGGAAGGAGGGATGGGGAGGGGTTACAGATGCCCTGTGACTAGCCACCTGGTGTCCTGGCACAGACACACTCTCTCCCCCCTCACCTGTCCAGCTCCTCCTTTCACCTTGTTCCTGTGTCCCTGAACCTTCTGCTCCGTATTCATCATTACATCTAGGACGCTCTGCTCTCTAAACGTGTATGTGTGTGTGTGTGCGCGCGCCGCTGTGTGCCACTGACCTTCAGCTGCGATGCAATCAGAACACACGTTCTGGCTCACTCTTAGACACGTGCACCTAGTCCTCCACATACACTCAAACGTGTACACACACAAACAAACACACACACACACCCTCTCTGGCTGTCAGAGTTGTTGAAATGTCAAGGTTGTCAGCTGTCCCATCTGCATTCACCTGTACAGAGTGGTTAAGGTCTGCTGTCAGTCTGTGATTCGTTAGCGTGCCTCTGGTCCCGCCGTGTGATTGGCTGAGACACTGCTGTCCCATTTGATGTGGGATAACCTTTTCTGATATCTGACTGTAAACACACACTGCCCTTTTCAATAGCTCCAACTCTCTGTCTGCATTCTACTGCTGCTGCTCTGTGTGTGTGTGTTTTAAAAATGAACATCTGAAATGTCTTGAGTCAATAAGTATTCAACCCCTTTGTTATGGCAAGCCTAAATAAGTTCAGGAGTAAAAATGTGCTTAACAAGTCACATAATTAGTTGCATGGACACACTCTCTGTGCAATAATAGTCTTTAACATGATTTTTGAATAACTACCTCCTCTCTGTACCCCACACATACAATTATCTGTAAGGTCCCTCAGTCGAGCAGTGAATTTCAAACACAGATTCAGGCGTCCTTCCTAACTCAGTTGCTGTGATAGGAGAAAACTGAGGATGGATCAACAACATTGTAGTTACTCCACAATACTAACCTAATTGACAGAGTGAAAAGAAGGAAGCCTGTACAGAATACAATTATTCCATAACATGCATCCTGTTTGCAACAAGGCACTAAAATAATAATGCCAAAAATGTGGCAAAGCAATTAACTTTTTGTCCTGAATAAAAAGTGTTGTGTTTGGGACAAATCCAATACAACACATTACTGAGTACCACTCCATATTTTCAAGCATATACTGGTGGCTGCATCATGTTATGGTTATCCTTGTAATTATTATTATTCTGTTTTTGTCATTTATCCAGAGCGACTTACATTATTATTTTATTTTATTTATAATTTTTTTCATACTGGCCCCCCGTGGGAATCGAACCCACAACCCTGGCGTTGCAAATGCCATGCTCTACCAACTGAGCTACATCCCTGCCGGCCATTCCCTCCCCTACCCTGGATGACGCTGGGCCAATTGTGCGCCGCCCAATGGGTCTCCCGGTCGCGGCCGGCTATGACAGAGCCTGGATTCGAACCAGGATCTCTAGTGGCACAGCTAGCACTGCGATGCAGTGCCTTAGACCACTGCGCAACTCGGGAGAACAAAAAGGAGGGGGAGGCCACTACTACATTTACATTTACATTTTAGTAATTTAGTAGACGCTCTTATCCAGAGCGACTTACAGTTAGTGAGTGCATACATTTTTCATACTGGCAAGTGCCATGCTCTACCAATTGAGCTAATAATAATAATAATAATATGCCATTTAGCAGACGCTTTTATCCAAAGCGACTTACAGTCATGCGTGCATACATTTTTGTGTATGGGTGGTCCCGGGGATCGAACCCACTACCTTGGCGTTACAAGCGCTGTGCTCTACCAGCTGAGCTACAGAGGACCACGGGTAATCATTAAGCTACACGGGTAATCATTAAGGACTGGGGAGTTTTTCAGGATAAAAAAACCGGAATGGAGCAAAGCACAGGCAAAATCCTAAAGGAAAACCTGGTTCAGTCTGCTTTCCACCAGACACTGGGAGATAAATTCACCTTTCAGCAGGACAATAACCTAAAACATAAGGCCAAATCTACACTAGAGTTGCTTGCCAAGAAGTTGTTACAGATTGAAGTTTTGACTTAAATCTGCTAGAAAACCTATGGCAAGAACTGAAGGTTGTCTAGCAATGATCAACAACCAATTTGACAGAGCTTGAAGAATTTTGAAAATATGAATGGGCAAATGTTGTGCAATCTGGGTGTGGAAAGCTCTTAGAGATTTACCCAGAAAGACTCACAGCTGTAATCGCTACCAAAGGTGCTTCTACAAGGCATTGACTCAGGGGTTTGAATACTTGTGTAAATGAGATTTCTGTATTTCATTTTCAATACATTTAGAACATTTCTAAAGACATGTTTTCACTTCGTTATTATGGGGGATTGTGTGTAGATGATGAGAGAATGTTTATTTAATCAATTTTGAATTCAGGCTGGAACACAGCAAAAGTGTATGAATACTTTCTGTAGGCACTGTAGGTTGACCTCTCACCTCTACCCATCACTCCACTCCAATACTGCTCAAGGCCAATAACAACAACCTCACAAACACACACTCCTCTGCCTGACCCCTCCATCCCATCCCACCCCTCATCCCTAGCCACTGGGGCACTGCAGCAGCTCCATCTTCCTCCTCCTCCTATCCCAGTGAAACGATGCCACAGTCAGCCCACTCTAGCCCCTGACCCTTTTCCTCCTCTGCTGTCCACACACATACACCGCTCAGTGCTGCAGGCAGGGTGGCAAGGTGATGACCTCACGGGTGCGTTGGCTGAGCTCAGCGCTGATGGAACGCCAGGGACCCTCAGGCTGCATACGCATCCTGGCCGGCTTCCCTGATCTTTCTCTATTCTCTCTCTACCGTGGAGGGAGGGGAGGGGATAGGGTAGGAGGGAAGGGAGGAGATGGGGAATGCAGAGAGGGAGGGAGGAGATAGGGAGGGAGGAGATGGGGAGGGAGGAGATGGAGAAAGCAGAAAGGGAGGGAGGACAGGGGGAAGGAAGGAGAGCAAAGAAAGGGATGAGTAGAGGGAAATAGTAAGATGAGGGGGGTGGTAGTGATTAATATGGAAGTGAGAGCAAAAGAGCCAGAAGCATGTTATTCGTCTTAATATGGTGTTGATTTTAATAACCCTTATTTTCCCAATTCAGCCCTCTCCTGTCTCTCTCCCCCTCCCTACTTCCTTCTCATCCCTCGACTCTAATCTCCTCCTCTTCTTCTCTTGGTGGTCCTCTCTATCTCCATCTCCTCTTCTTCTTTTCTTGGTGGTCCTCTCTCTCCATCTCCTCTTCTTCTTCTCTTGGTGGTCCTCTCTCTCTCTCCATCTCCTCTTCTTGTTCTCTTGGTGGTCCTCTCTCTCTCTCCATCTCCTCTTCTTGTTCTCTTGGTGGTCCTCTCTCTCGCCATCTCCTCTTCTTCTTCTCTTGGTGGTCCTCTCTCTCGCCATCTCCTCTCCTTCTTCTCTTGGTGGTCCTCTCTCTCGCCATCTCCTCTTCTTCTTCTCTTGGTGGTCCTCTCTCTCTCTCCATCTCCTCTTCTTGTTCTCTTGGTGGTCCTCTCTCTCTCCATCTCATCTTGTTCTCTTGGTGGTCCTCTCTCTCTCCATCTCCTCTTCTTCTCTTGGTGGTCCTCTCTCTCCATCTCCTCTTCTTCTCTTGGTGGTCCTCTCTCTCTCCATCTCCTCTTCTTCTCTTGGTGGTCCTCTCTCTCTCCATCTCCTCTTCTTGTTCTCTTGGTGGTCCTCTCTCTCTCTCCATCTCCTCTTCTTGTTCTCTTGGTGGTCCTCTCTCTCTCTCCATCTCCTCTTCTTGTTCTCTTGGTGGTCCTCTCTCTCTCCATCTCCTCTTCTTCTCTTGGTGGTCCTCTATCCACCCGTTGAGACCATTTCCTCATCTACTTTTCCACTTGTTCACCTTTCCAAGAGTAGTCTTTAGATATGTTGATGCCTGTGTATGTTCTCCTTGCCATCCCCTCTCCTCTCATTTCTTCCTCCTCCTTGCTTCATCTCCCTCCCTAGTTCATTTGTTTATGGCGCACCTGAGCAGCGACGCAACCCGGTTTCTGTCTCCGTGGAGATTAGCCTCCCCACTACGGAGCTCTCTCAGTGACACGCCGGCGCTGGCGACGCCTCCTCGCCGTGCCATGATGAATATAGCGACCTACTTAATTACCACGGTAACCGGATGGTATGCAGTGGCGTGCTGAGGCTCCCCCCCCCCTCCCCAGATCCCTGCTTCTAGTCCAACACCACACACACACACACACACACACACACACACACACACACACACACACACACACACACACACAGTCAACGCTGATAAGTGGCAATAAAGTTATCATCTTTCTCTCCATCTCTTCCTGATGGTCTTTGGCCTGCTGCACTAGAATATATGGTCAACATTACCGCATGTTTTGATTTGTATAAGTTGTGAGTCTTTGTCTGTGTGTGTGTGTGTCTGTCTGTCTGTCTGTGTGCTCCCCAGCACTTGCACACCAATTATAATGAGTCCTTTGATCTCCCTGTGTTCAGCGGAAATCTATTCCCTGCACTGTGTGAGGGTATTTGTACGTGTGTGTGCGCAGGTCCGCTTGTGTGTGTGTGTGTGTGTGTGTGTGTTTATCTCACTAAGACGCTATCTTGTCCTCTCGCCATCCTAATGATACAGCCTCTGCAGTACAGGTCACACCAGACCAGTCAACACACCAGGATGTGATGAGGGGGTCAACATGCCCTTATCGCCTCACCCTCCCACACCAGCGGAATGTTATTATAGCTAGGCAGTAGAGGCCGTAGGGAGAAGATGGAGCGTTGTTATAAAATGCCATTTAATGATCCACTTTCAGTGAGTTTTGGAGTTTTGGGATGAGGTGTAAAGAGATGCAGTGGGAGGAGGTGGTAGAGAACCTGACTGTCAAAATAGGAGGTAGACAGACCCCCTCTGTCTCTCTCTCTCTCTCTCCTCCACCCTCCTTCGCTCTCATCTCTCCCACCAGCTGTTTGTTTTTTCAGTTATTCCCATCGGAGGAGTCGCAGGGAAACATTAATTTACCACAGAAGAAAGTGTTGTGTGATGGTTATCGGTGTGTGTTTTAATAAACACATGGGCAGCCCTCTGCGTGGCATCTGCCTGTGCCTTCAGAGGGCTTTAAGATCTGCCAAGAAACGGCTTACATGGGTATGAGGCACACTGTCACAGGCCTGATGTGTCTATGGTGTGGGTGGTGTGTGTCTATTGTATGGGTGGTGTGTGTGTCTATGGCGTTGGTGGTGTATGTCTATGGTGTGGGTGGTGTATGTCTATGGTGTGGGTGGTGTGTGTCTATGGCGTGGGTGATGTGTGTGTGTGTGTGTGTTTGCTTTGGTGATTTATCTGTGTGGGTTTTTCAAATGAATATGGGCTTTGGAAATAGGCCTTTAGGTCTGACCCACACTATGTGAATCTAGGTGAATAGTCCTTAGGTCAGGGCATGTGTGTAGTTGTGTGTGTGACGCTGTTCTGTCAGGCTGGATTAGGGCTGACCCCATTTAGTCGACTGGTCGATTGTTTGGTCGATAGGATGTTGGTCGACCAAGAATTCTTTAGTCGAGCAGTCCGTTTAAAAAAAACAAAAAAAAGATGGTGCACAAAACACCTGTCTGATTGGCGCCTGTCTCATTGGACTGATCCATTGCATAGGCCACGGGATGGCACAGTCCATCACTCTAATAGATGTGATGCTGAAATTGTATATGGTTATATTATGTAAAAATAATGGTGCTACACTAATAAATCTAATATTATTTTAAAACAAATGCACTTTCTCCCGCGTTTCTGAAACATAATCTTCAGTGCGCCATGTTGCTATATGCATAATAGCAAAGTTAACCAGCATATTGGGATTGAGAACAATGCGGCGGAGGCAGCAGCAGAGACGAGGAAACAGCCCTTGCCTTAGCCTAATTGTCTAAGAAAATTGAGGAGAGAGGAAACCCCAACTTAATTAGGTCTATAATCAATAGCTTAACTGTTAAATGGGGGGGTATACAGAAGATACAGAAGATAGCCCTATTTGGTAAAAGACCAAGTCCATATTATGGCAAGAACAGCTCAAATAAGCAAAGAGAAATGACAGTCCATCATTACTTTAAGACATGACAGCTGTGTGCTTAAACTTCCTTCGCTTTTTCTTCCCGGAGATTGTCCCGTCTTTAACGGCACCACTTCTCACTCCAATGCTGGGAGAGAGGAAGGAGGGATTGGGAACATAGGAGGGTCATATCTATGTTTAGAAGAATTTTAATCAACAGAGAGCGAGAGATGGTGGAAGAGGAAGAGCGGAGGAGAATAATGTGTGTCGTCAACAGAGAGAGGAGTATAGACTAATTGGGCCTGCCTGCCTGCCCTGCTACCCTGCTCCTGATTGGGCCTGCCTGCCTGCCCTGCTACCCTGCTCCTGATTGGGCCTGCCCTGCTACCCTGCTCCTGATTGGGCCTGCCTGCCATGCTACACTGCTCCTGATTGGGCCTGCCTGCCTGCCCTGCTTCCCTGCTCCTGATTGGGCCTGCCTGCCATGCTACCCTGTTCCTGCTTATGGCAGCTCAATGCTGTTTTCTCTCATTACTAGGCCTCCCTAAGAGGTAGCAAATGCACTCACTCACTCACACACACACGCTCTCTCTCATGGGAGCACAGGCATACTCACTGGCACACAACACTCTCTCTCACACACACGGGCACACCGCCTAGCCACAGACTTTGATATAATAATAATTATTATTATAATATGCCATTTAGCAGACGCTTTTATCCAAAGCGACTTACAGTCATGTGTGCATACATTTTTTTACGTATGGGTGGTCCCGGGGATCGAACCCACTACCCTGGCGTTACAAGCGCCATGCTCTACCAGCTGAGCTACAGAGGACCACGATGGCTGGGAATACAAAAAAAAAATTGTGGAAATGAGCATCTTCAAAGACGCAGATGACAAGATAGCAGCATTAACCCTCCTCCTCTTCTCTCTCCTACCTTCCTCCTCTCTTTTCTTCTCTTAACTCGGTTGTATGAGGGGCCTCATAAAGCAAGGGAGAGACGGAGAAAGGGAATGAGGGATGGGGATAAAGCGAGATGGAGACAAAGTGAGAGGAAAAGGGCAGGATTGGAGAGGAGTGCAAAGAGGTTTATGAAGCTCTATGTTCATACCAGTAGCTACAGTAATTTAACCGTTGCCTGCTGCTGATGCTGTCATCCTCTCTCCAGTTGTGAGTTATTAGAATAATATATATCTTTTTCTGAGGTGCAGCCAAGTCTTCAGGGCTTTGCTGAAATACAGTTACCACCACCCTTATTACATCTAAAAGTACTTAAATCTATCATTTTTATGGCTTCTATACCAGTTAGTCATAAACTCCTAGATGACCTCTCTCTCCCTAGCATTAACCCTTCCAGTTTCATTTATACTAACCAGTTAGTCATAAACTCCTAGATGACCCTTCTCTCTTCCTAGCATTAACCCTTCCAGTTTCATTTATACTAACCAGTTAGTCATAAACTCCTAGATGACCCTTCTCTCTTCCTAGCATTAACCCTTCCAGTTGATTGTTCCTAGCCTGCAGCGTGGGAGGATAGAGCCCCAGGATGCTCATGGCTCTGCTCTGGTGAAGCCTGCACTAGGCTCTTTAGCCTGGCATTTAAACCACACATGGAATTTACAGGGGTTTGCGGTTTAGTTCACTGTTTGCTTTCTAACTTTAATTTGCATCCTATAAGGAACATACTGTGACTGTGTGTATGTCTGTTAGTCTATGGCGTTATTAGAGAGGGTGTGTGTGTGTGCTAGCCCTGCTACATTACTT